GCCTAGCTGAAATACTCGGGCGTCAATTAAGGTCACCTGTCAACTTAGGGTAGTGCCTAAAGATTACTTCGTGCGGCTATAAACGACCGTTAAACGAAATGATGACTTTTTGAAGGATTTTAAAAACGGAAAAAATGATAGTCATGCTGGCCCAGCATCATCAACATTGAAAAATGCCCCGGCATGAAGGGGTTAAGCATGAAACTCGCTTTTCTGTTTGTTACTTTTGGTACTTGTTTTTCTTTTACTGTAAAGACTCCCATTGAACATGTTGAACCTCCGAAAATAAAGATGAATCTAGTGACATTTCCAGTAGACCCAGCCAATGGCCCCCTTTAATGGCGCAGGGCAATGTGTTGGGTTTGATGCAAAGCAACTGTCACAGAACCGTAGCTCCATACAATTGCTCTCTCAGTGCTTACGGCCATTGGCGGGGATCACTGCAAATGAGCAGCGATAGCATATTGTCAGAGTCACCAGACTCATCTGAATTGCATTTCACTAATAGAAAAAATTGCTTGTGCTTCCTGAGATCAGTGCCGTTCACTCTGGAAGGGGCTTTTCCATTATTTGTACCCACTTTCAGACGAGCCTGGTGTTGTGGCCGTGCGTCAAGTGTCCATCTCCAGCAGCATCGACAGCACGCTCATGGGAACAGAGGACCTTGAAAAAGACATGCAGGTATATTACCACGGTAGAGTCACAAAGTATCTTTGAGCGTGATTATACTTCTAAAGGTGCAGTCCTGCATTTGCAGCTGTCCATAAAGGAACTGGTAAATCAGTGTTGAAAAGCGTGTTTGGTTTTTGAGATAGCTATGTCACCAAGCTCCCTGTGAAGTAATTCTCTGGCGAGCTGTCATTTTGAAGGAAGCATTAGGAAAGGTAATTTACAGCGCTGTGTCTAAAGATGCATTCTGGGAAATTGCGATTAGTAGTTCATTTTTAAATTGCAAATTAGAGTGCACAAGGGTTGCCATGATGCACATGTGGATGCCAAAATTCGTTGGTGTAGTGCGGAACATCACATAGCTGACATCAGGTGAATAACATTATGTCTTGGATGCTGAACTTGGGGGTGAAATTCAAAACATGAACCTACATTAACTTTGGATTTGAAATCGAGATCCTAGAAAGCTCCCTCTTGGTTGATACAGCGTTTGACTGTGCTCATTCAAACAACCTGATGAACCCCATGTTAAGAGGACATTTTCCGTGGTTACAAAATATTGTACCTGATGGTGGGGAGTTTCGTGTGTCTTCATAACAAGTCTGTTCCCGTAGTAACTTGTCATTCAACAGCTGTGTTGTTCCCACTACTACGGCACACGTATGCATGGCCGAACTACACACAGTGGGAATTCCTATGGTCTATTGCATTGGTTGGCCTAGCCACTCTCTTGTCACCAGTGTGGTGGTACATGTTCCTGCATGGGAACTATGTGCATTATGGACAGTAGGGCAAATACAGGCTGGTTCTGTGATTGATGGCAACGGCCTTGAAGTCTGTTTCAAACCTATCTACCTGAAGCTGAAATTGGGTCAACTGGTCACGCATGAACGAGATGCGCCTAAGTCCAGCCATTAACTTCATTTTCTTCCTTTATGTGTCACCATTCACAAAACCGTTGACACGTCTCACTTGTTACTTGGTTACTCGAGACCCGAACCCCAACTCGATCATTTCAATTTGTACACCACTAAACTTGGGACTTGAACAACTGCCATTGTTAAACTATTTTCTCTTACAGTGTCTATTGAGACACCTGTGTGCACTGTTTCTGTTTAAAGGTTAAAATACAAGGACACTTTCAAAGTTGGGCAGGTCGAATGGATTCTGACAGGAACAGATCAAGGGAATGTTATCATGGCTGCTTGTTGCACATGCTGCAAGGCAGCTGTGGAAATCCGAAGGAAATTTACAACACAAATATTGTTCTAAACAGTAAGAGCACTGCTGAATTTTCAAGACTTGAATTTGAAACATTTTCAAGTTCTGTTTTCCAAACCAATACAATTTCCTTTGCAGTATGTTGATTACAGTAGCTCATGCATTGCTTTTTCTCCTTCTAAATTGAGGAGTATGAACTCAGCGAAGGTGAAATCTCCCCCACCAAGCCCACCCCTAAACTCCACAGCCAGGACCCTGTGGTTGCCCTCCTAGCCCACATGAGGCGGCGGCCCGACCCCTCGGCTGCCCCAGCTGGTATCCTGCCCTACCACACCCCATCCCAGACCCTCAACAACGACACCAGGAGTCTGGGCGAAGTCAGCGTGGGCCAGCGCCCCGCCCTGACCCCATCTTCGGAGAGGCAACTGTTTGAGGAGGCCTACGGTGCCAAGCCGCCCCAGGTGACCCCGCCGTCAGAGGTCACCGGCAGGAGGTCACCTGGCGAGGTGGGTAGCAAGGACCAGCTGGGGACAGTCAGGCCAGCTGTTGAGGATTCCACACTGAGGATATCGCAGTTGGACGGAACGAAGCACAAGGAGCCGCTCCAGGGAAGGAAATTAACTCCTGCAGAGCAGAAGAAAACGGAGACTGCACCAAGTCCAGCTCCAAGAATCATTCAGGTTGGTGTAATTAATTTTTGGTTCGTCACCAGAAGAGTCAGTGTCAGTTTGTGCAGTTGGCAGGAAAGTCTGTCAACTGCAGCCGAGAGGTCGTGCTAACCTAAATCATACCTCATGGTTAGACCTGCTGTTATTTATGCAGCTTGTGCCGCCGGGAGATTCCTATTCTTCATGTCTGCTATTTTCTTGGAAGTTAGCATGCTCTTGGCGTTGCTAATTGCCTATGTGCTCTTTGAAGTAGAAGGAGACCCTGTCGGCAGGAAGTCGCATTCTTAGCGGCGACTCGAACTGGGGCTCTACGATAGCAAAATGCATCGCCCATCCTGAAGGCTGGACACTCCCCTATACCAGGCTGAGCGATTTATCTCTGGGCATAGCATAGTTCTGTAGTTAGCAGCTCCGTGAAATCTGCCACCTTTCTCGATACAAGAATGAGCTATGTTTCATAATTTTTCTTTCCTTTTTGGTGGAACACAGCTGTCAGTTTGCAGCATTGTGATCCAGAGTTCTTGACCAGGTGTTACTCAAAAACTTACACAAAGAAGGTACATGGGTGGAGAGCCTTAAATACGCCCAATCCCGGCCTTTGGTATTTTTCCATTGTATAGTGCTTTGTGCAGGCTGCATATATTGTGTTGGGTGCTTTCATCAGAATGTACACAACAGACAGGCATATTACTTCCCACTGTAACCAAGTGTTTAAGCCACAGCCAGACTGTCACAACACTAACTCCCATTCCTTAATTTGGCATTAAATCTCAGTTCGGCTGAAGCTTTATGAAGGGATTAGCATCCTTGGCCCCACAACAGGATGCAGTATGACAAGGAGATATTTTTTCTCCCATATGTAACCTCCAGGTCGTTGGCAAATCTTCAAGCCCAGAACCAGCACAGAGAGATAAGACAAAAGATTTAGGAGGCGTAGGACCAAGACACGACTCAGACGAGCTTAGTGAAGGAGACATCGATGATGACCATGATGGTGATTTTACTCAGGCTAAAGATGGAGAGAAGATTACATCACGAGCACCAATACCACCAAGTGAGTATTTCCTTGCGTCCATGGAACAAGGGTGTTTATTTGTTTACCGATAAATTCAAATACATTTCTTGAAAAGTGGCGTCAATGTTATACTGCTTGTTTTGTAATGAAACTCTTTGCATTTCATGAAGTAGATGAAGTTTTATGAAAGAGCTAGTGCCTCAAAAATTTACTCATGTTTGAGAAAAATATTGAAAACTCCACTTACAATGGATTGTTGTGTTTATCAAGAAAGTATCCTCCAGGCTTTTTAGAAGAGTGATGGAAGTTTTTGATTGTCAACTTCACCACAGCTTCCAAACGATTAGAGAACAATTTTAATACCAATGTTCGTGTTATCAAAAATACTCACCAAATTACTGTTACAATTTGGCATGTGTTTAATAAAAGGCGCAACCATCTCCATTGTTACTTGAAATGTGTTAGTGAATGAGAAAACAATGAGAGATTGTATTCAGACTGCAAACCTTTTTCTTGCCATGCATTACCTTTTGGAATTAAATCTTTATAAAGTATTTATTTCACAGATCTGTAAAGTTTTCAACATGTCATGCTTAACCATGAGACCTAACTCACCAACTTTCTTTTCCATCCAACCTAGATTTGTTTGGAACTCAGACCATGAGTGACCTAGGAACACGAACCCTGACCCCCGATGCCCTCAACCTGGAGGCCCTCCTCCAATCAGGGTACCTCAGCCAGACTTTTAGCCAATCAGAAGGAGGTACCAGTGATTTTGAATCCTTTAAGCCCCCGGGTCTGGCCAGCACTCACGCCACAGTTTCGTCCTCCGGGACCCCACTGCAAGCCGCTGGCCATCAGCCGCTGACGGAAGACTTCCTGGATGTTCTCGATGAGGAGAAGGATGCGGACAAAGCTGCAGGGGCGATGTCATTCTCAGTCACCCTACCATCAGCTGCTGAGTCTCAGGGCTTGGATTTTAGCCAGACCATAAGTGAAGGGGAGATCCCGCCTGCTGATACCGGTACCACCAGTGACGTCTCGGAACTGTCTGGTGGAACGTTACCATGAGGACACTTGACTTCCGTTTCTGATTTCTGCGCAGCCTGGGGAATGTGTTGGCAACCCTCACCAGAAACATGTTTCTGCCTGGGCATTGGTGGGGCAGTTTTGGTTTCCTCTGCGTGACGTCATTGTCCTGGCCAAACAAGAACCAAAAGTTGGAGTTGGTTCAGCACCGGTTCAATATGGGGGAGAATAAGCAGACAAGTTTGGTTGTCTCTCACATAAGTGAATTTGTACATTCCAAAATTTTTGGTTGCATGCAGTGAATCAAAACAGCTACTTTCTTCTAGAATGTGAAAAGAGAGAGCAGCACTGGTAAGAAACATGCCAAATATTGTCCAAATATTGAGTGAAAATGAAGTTCATCAACAAGGTCTTTGCTTCCTTGTACTTTGTCTCTGTTGGATGACATAACCATTTCCAGTTCTTTGTTTTTGTGTGCCACGTTAAACATGTTATTGCTTTGTTGTCTCAAGCACGTTTCTGGTTTAGGCGTCGTTAAAACACGCCCCTGTGTCCAACAGCCAAGTTCAACAGTTGCAGCCCACTGTTGGGTCAAGTGCATGATGGACCAAGACAGACATGCTTGGGTCAGATAGTGTCACCCAGATTCAACAAGAATTTGTTTGTTGGGCAAGATGCAAGCTCAACCTATGTTGGAAAACTACAAGTCAGCTTTCAGTGCTATCGTGGAGTTGGTCAGTGAGAACTCAGAAGTATGACAAAAATTGGTTCTAAGATCAGTAGAGAAGCTCTGCTAATATAACCTCCAGGTTATTTTCCCGTTGCCATAGCAACATTTGGAAATTCAGTTTGGCCGTGCTTTGTGTCATTCTATTGAAATAAGTATCCTTTTCAGTTGTGATGATTTGTGCATTTCGCAACCCTCCTTACATGCAAGGTCTCATTCTTTGAAAGTAACATTTTTGATATTGATGACCAGTTTATATCACAAGAAGGCCAGATATGTGCACATTGCTGATTGACAGTGTTGCCCTAAATTTGTTGTGGCTTGTCTTTAATGTTTCAAAATCAGTGCTTGTCAAAGTGACAACTTGCAGTTACAATCCATTCTTTGTCAAAGATTGTTGGTTTCCAAACTGTGATTGCTGCAACTTAACTCTACAAATAGAGCATTCGTACCTGAGCATTCAGATTTGCTTGAAAACTAGCGTTCATGCTTTTTCTTGTACCTGTTTATGGCTGTGTGCGTAAACCTATGCCCAAACTGCCATTTTATTGTCTTCACTTGAAGGAAACCAGTAGACCGTATCCAGACTTTGGTCACAGTGTGTGGCTAGCAAAAAACACAGTTGCATAATGGTGACTAGATAACAGAAGTTTTATTTTACAGTGTCAGGCACTGGCCTTCATTTGCAAGCTTACAAGAATCCACACTGCTGTGTACATTATAAAAGTGGATATCTGAATCTCCAGATCTAGGACATTTCAATCTAAGGCTTCACGTAAATGTCTTCTATTTGAGAATTCAAAAAATATGTCTTCAGAAGATGATTTCTTTTTTTCTGATAATTCTAACGTCATTCTTCCATGATTTAACTGTTCAATACTTGTTATCGCAGTACTTACTTAAACTGAAAGTGCCTTGAATAAAATGTTAAATAATGTAATTTATTGTAACTGGCGTCGAGACAATTTCCATTTTCCAAGGTGTTACAAGAAGCTGCACAGATGCCAGTGTTGAATATGCACCAAGTGAACCACAAAGTGCAGTGTGTCATATGCATTATTTACATGCCGTTGTTTGCGACCCACATATGATGTTACCATAATGTGAATAAAAACCTTTGGTATGTAAATAAACGTAGAACTCTTCATTACAGAAAAAGTGCAGTGATCTTTGGTTTCCCTGATATCCACGTTAAAACTAATTTAACCTAATTCGAGGTTATAAACCTAATTCGAGACCCCACCACATAAGTGGAGCTATGTCAGCAGGCACTCCAAATCTTTTAGCATAAGTGAGGCAATTGAAACCAATCCAATCGTTCTGAATTTTTTTTATGAGATCACACTAAGATGTACAACTGCCCAAGTGAAGGATACGGCTTTGCATTCTTTAATCGTAGCATACATGTACATGATTGATGTATAAATGTAACAGATCCCTCTTGAAACAAGTCACTTGTGACCAGATGGCTGTTTCTGGTCGTTCATTGGTTAGCCCATCACTACAACAGACGATCTGTCCTGTGGCATTTTTCATGGCAGATGGCCTCAAGAGCTGGCCTCAATGAGTCTTACTGCGAACATCACGCCACACCAAAAATTCTGACATCAGCAATATTTTCCAGTATTAACAATAAACACGGTCCTTATTCTAAAAGTTAAAACCATAAATTCCACTTTGATGGTAAGTTTTCTTGGGTGGGGCTGAAAAATTCTAGGGGACCTTGATAATTTCAATTTAAAAAAATTACTTTTTATCCGTTGTAACTCAAATGTTATTTTTAAGGATGTTGTTATTTACAACACCCCTTCCTCAACTAGTAAGTTACTAGTTCCTTAAATTCAGATCTTTCATATACATGAACAGTAAAGATATCTGTATGATTTCAAACTCAGTCTTTCTTATCACAAAGCTACTTTGTCCGACGCACCAATGCAAGCAAAACTCTCTTCACCACACGTCAGTTGAAATATCAACTTCACACAGAATAAAATGATTTTCAGATTATTTTATTATCAAACGTCCAAAATACCACCATTTTTTTCTTGCTACCAACACCACTGTTAATTTAATACGGATCTTTTTTGTTCGAACCAATACACTACATTGTTTTGAAGTTACTGAAATGTTCAACAAGATAATATGGGATAAAAGACACTTCGTGAGTTAATACATTTTAATGCATTTAAGCCACGTTTGCATTCGAATCAAGTTTACAATAAAGATAAATGCATACAAGTACATGTAGACCATTGAGATGGATTTGTTATTGAAGACAAAAGGCACCAAGAAATTTCAGAGCAGAATTTGGGTTAGTATTTCAACTTCTAGTACTCAAAGTGATCACCGTTTAAATGAAAAAGGTTCACGAGACATACTGTAGGTCTCCACGCTGGACCGATCAGAATGCTTGATGCATGAATCAACACTGACCAATCAAAGTGGTGCTTGGAGTTTACTGGTCAAAGGTATGCAATGAGCGTCATACACATTACTCAACCATGCACAGAAGGAAACTGTTCACAGATAAGCATGTACAATATGAAATACAGGCAGAGGAATGCAATATAAAGTTTGAAAACCCTAAGCCACCGATACTGTTAATTACAAGTATTTCATTAATTCCAAGCAATCAAAAAAGGCACTTCCACATAGCACTACAAGTGAATCTTAATACATTAATTAAGTCCTCTATTTCAGCCTCATTCACGTAAGTGAATCAAATCAACAAAATGTCCAAGGTCCTCTACACTACGTCTGTATTAGGTGACTACATTCCCAAGGCTACGGGGAGAGATCTGGGTCAGTTTTCCAAATCATGGCCACATCTCCTACTGCAAGTTCATGTGGGGTACAGCAATTTATTACAGTTCAAATGATTTCCGGTTAGAAGTACTCCAAACACTGGCCTTGCATGAGGCAATGTGATGTTCCTGTGAAGGTGTCTGAGCTGCACTGGGCCAAGGGATCTCAACCTAATAACTACATTCATGGATGTACATCCAACAGTAAACCTGAAGACAAAGCCTGCAACAGAACAACAACCCCCCCCCCTTCAGCATGAGCAGTTACTTTAAGGTTTCATTAAAACTGAGCATTCCGTCGTTAACGACATGTACAGTGAATGTCTTCAGGAATGTACCTGTTTCAGACACAGCCAAATAACTTACAAAGTGATGGGAACCGGTTTTGTGTGTGTGTGTGCGCCGTCTGGTTGGGGTGTTTTGGTCACAGGGACTAAACAAAGCATTCTTTGGAAATGCCCTGTGTATGCAATTTGACAATAATACCCAACTTGACAACAGTCACAAATATGGTCTGACGAAAAAATAACCCACATTGTAAATAACTTGATGCCACTTTCTATACCACATGAACGCCACAACCAAAGATTACTACCTCTTCTGAGATTCCATCTGTGCACTGACCCACTCCATTCATTATACCTCCCCTGGGACACAACAAACACTGCCCTTGGCAAGTCCAACCATATTCCTCTATCCCTAGATTTCCCAGCATTTGGGAATCTGAGCATTGTTAGTTGCTCCACCTTCCCGGGTGATTTTACCAGTCCTTATTTCCTGGAGGACAAAATGACCCAGAACAAATTGGCTCTGCGACAGCACACATTCAAAATGCTGTGCAAATAAGATAAATGTGTTTCATTCCTTGACAAGACTTGATGACTGGCATGATTTCAAGTTTAGTGAATAGTTAAAAAAAAAAGTGCTTTACCACAAATGACCAACTCATGAGAAAAGAACAAAATTTGTTATTGCAGTTAAAACTGAATGTATTTGAGGACCATGAACATGAAATGGCCAGAGCATAAGTTGCACTGATTTTCTCAACTGCCTACACACTGTGTATTTCTGAGTTAAAGTCCCAGGAATTAAATATTACAGCTTAGCTACTACCTGACTGATCTCTGCTCATTTCTCATTCTAGTTCAGCGAGTCTTGTACACCTAATAGTTTCATCCCTAAAAAGGGGACAAGACTCTTTAAGCAAACCTCATTTGAAAGTTAGCATTTACTGTTAAGATTTAACGCAAAGAGCCCAAACTTCCAGATACAAACAAATAAATTAACCAACACTTTTTCATGCAAATTTTCATGAACACATTTAAAACAGTTATTTGCTTTTATAATGACCAATATCAGTCAGTTGATTTGGCCCCTTCATTTCAACCCCAATTTCCAACAAGAGTTGAAAGTACTGACAATACAACGTGGTAGCATGCAAGAGACTGCCTCAAACCTATTTCAGAAATTGTTGGCATTATGGCATACCTTCAATCAGCTTGTACATTGCACTGGCACTCAGTACACCATCACAGGATATTTAATCAATGAATACTACATTGGCGGTTGATGCCATCAACTTGGCAGACAAATGAAGAAGGCAGGCCTACACATGTTGCTGTATATTATTTGTAACTTGAGGAAGATATTACCAGAAGTACTTTTTTCACCTTGATGGCAGAAGCATCGTGACACACACATGCACACGTGCCAGCAACTAATACGCATCTCTTTTAATATCAGTCACTGGACTTGGGACCAAAGATTTTGCTTTCCACTGCCTTTTAATGTCAGCAGTAGGATTCAATAGATGGCGTCTCATGATTGTAACAAAACTCAAACTTGGAACAGTTCAACACATGCCACTAGTCCCATGTTTATTTGTATTCCTTGAACTGAACGCCACCTTATCTCATCCCACATCTTGTACAAATATGATTTTTTTTTTTTGTCGGGGTAGGTCATGCAATGCTCAAGGTGGTTGACATTTTTCCTATCACACTGCCAATTGACTTTTAAACGTTTGCAAGGAGGCATAGGACAAGGGTCGTCAACGGTACTTGAGCAATGCCGTGTGGCAAGAAAACAGTCCAACATGTAAAAGGTCTGCGTTAGCTCTGAATAGGCGCTTGGTGCAAGAACCAACAAATAACCAACAGCACTTGAAATGAAGTTTAAATAAAAAGATGTGACTGATGTGCCATGGTCACTAAGCAATGTTGGCTGTTGTACACTGTTGCTATGGGTTTCACAATCACATTCTAGAAACAGAACTCTGCATGCACATTCATGTAGTTATGCTTTCCACCGTTTTGGTATTTCTAGATACCGCATCTTTTTATGCATGTTGTAATCCTCCCACGTTTATGAGATATTTCAACAAACAAAATGCCAGGACCAGTGATAGATGATTGCGACTCTTTGGCAAAGCCGATGTACACCTGTTGACCTGGAACTGGTTCAGTATCGACAAAAGACAGTGGGAATACAGTAATTGGACCAGTTCAAATCAATCAAAAGTCTGCAGTGTTTGTCTATGTACAGGCATTCTGAAAAGTACTTATCCAAACAGTCTACAAATTCATACAATCAAACAAATCTTTGGAAATTACAAACAGAAACATAGTATTTTATATTGAGATGTACCTCAAAGTCTTAATTAAAATGTACACACATTTTCATGCTTATTATCAATGAGTCTTGCTGATTTTATTAAATGTTAACTTTTTCAAGCAAATCAGTACAAAAATAAGGTTATTTATACTTTTGAGTATGTGAATTTGATCAATTCTACTCAAGCAACAATGCAGCCACACCTCCCTCTACAGTTGGGAGTTTTGCCACTTTACAATAATTACTTGTTTGTTCTCAGTAAACCAATAAAGAGAAATAACTCAATAATTTAATCCTCAATGCCTGCCACAGTTGACATTTATCAGGGAATGTAGACAATAGAGCCTTTCCAATTTACACACAGGTTTCTGCACGTGCCTACAATAGACTTTAGCATTATTTTTATTATTATTAAATTAGTAGCATTATTTTGGAGATCCTTCAACTTGCTACGCTGTATTTGTCCACTGCTTTGCATAAAGTGAACACTCCCAAAACGTACTTAGAATAGCAGGATGACAATCATCATCAATCCTTTGCTTTCTTACTTTCTGTTCATAATGCGTACAGATAAACTACTAGTATGGCATGGTACAAGTAGAAGGCTACTGGAGGCAGTGAAACACACGCATTATTCATTCCAAACTGCATATCACTTTTTATCCACTAGAAATTGAATACATAGATTCAACACACGCTACATCATTCAATGCATTCATATGCGTATGACACAGAAATAGGCAGTTACGTATGTACGCTCTTATGCACGTTCAGGACTGCATTTTCTTGAACTGGTGGAGGATTTTGCCGGTACTGGTGCGCCAAGGCCATGAGCGGTTGCCATGGAGGGTCTGCCTGTGACTTCAGCTTGACAAATCAGCATCTCCCTACAAATTCAGCAGTCCTCTTGAGAACACTGCTATAACAGGGTCCTCAATCAGGCCACTGAGTCTGCCTTAGAATGTTGGACACAGAGCTACAAAAAAATCTGGAGTTTGTCCTTGACATGTGAGGTCCATGCCAATTTGGTCCTTCATCCCTACACATGTACAGTACATGTATAATTACAATGCCCTCCCTGACATGTATGAAGTGCAAGTTCTCGGAAGTTAGTAGTTCTTTCAGAATAATTTTGAATATTCAAACTTTTACGTGCCACCTCAGTACAGTGATTTTTCATGAAAAAGACTTGACTGTGCATGTAATGCAAGTTAACGTCAACAAACGCTCCCACTTCTGATGTTAACTAGAAAGGGTTCTAACTTTTTGCAAGCAGAAGTTAACAGAATGGCTGAGATCATGTTATTGAAGAAAAATGAGAAGCCAGTTGACTGATGTCAAACCTGTGCCAAACAGTCACCAGTGAGGGAAGCCATAGCAATGGCAGCTGATTTCCAGAAGACATTTTCACCTGACTTAAGCATCTTTTCATCAAACACCCGACAGATTATTCAGACAAGTCTTGCATCTGCCCAAACACCAGCTATTGAAACTCTAAGACAAACAAATGGGCACAAAACTAACGATGTGATCACGCAGAGTACGTACACGTACATGTTAATGCATGTTTCTGGCCTAAGCATAACCAGACGAAAGACTGTTGTTGAACAAAATCATGCTGGTCTAAACCACATGCGATTTCACTGTTCAGCCACGAACTCTGTGCATAAGTCTGGCCTAGTGTAGTGCCACTAGGCCTTTGAAATGAAACAAAGCCCACAGCTGAAGATGGATTGGATGCGTTTGAATATTTCTGTGACACATTCAGATTACACGCTCTGTTTTCTTGCGCGAAACAAATCCTAAATGCTGACTGAGCGGCCTCTCACCAAAACATCCCCCTCCCCCCCAAACAAACTGAAATGTTGATTTTGATTTGAAGATATGTTGTGGCGCACTGCTCAAGGTCGCTCAACACAATTCAAATATTCTGCTTGAGCCAGGCAGTTTCTGAAATTTAAAGTTGTCTCTGAGAGGTGTCCGTAACGAAATCAATCGCATGCACATGCAGTAAACCAAATGTGAAATGTCTTGCGGATTTAACGTGCTCCGCATAATTGTATAGGAATAGGAGTGTTGTAACTGAAGTTTGAAAACTGCATGCAAATATACTGTTGACAACAAACGTGTAAATGTTCCAAATCATATCTGTCTACTGTTTGTGCTTTGATATTCTGTTAAAGTGGAGAGATAATCAGCCTAATGGCGTGGTGACAGGTCACATGACCTGATGACCAATGAGAATTTCACTGGCACTGTTGCTATTCTATAACACTCAAACCATTTTTCCCTCCCTGTTTCTACTTAGCATTATATTATATACACGTTTCCTTCGGAATAATTTTCAAAAAAAATATACATCTTTGTCTGGCGTTTCTTCCATTCTCCCCTTCCATTCCCAAGCCTGCCAGGCCAACAGCATCAACCGAACATCTCTTGTGATGCATACACCATGTACAGGAAGCCATCTTCGTCCTTCTCATCCCTATACACCTCCGATAACGTGATGGACATACTGGCCAAGCTCTTATTGTTGACGATGAGATAGAAAGCTTGTGTAGCACTCAGCTGCATGCGATTTCTGCATGAAAGGAGAAGAAGAGAAGGCATGTTGGTATTTGTTGTGGCTAGCGGGCATCAAGGAAATCGAGGTCAAAGCGTCACAATGCACCCTTTGTTTACAGTCTGGGGATTAACCAACTACCAACCCTTCCCAGCCTGTATTGAAGAGGATGAAGTGGATTTACACCTACAATGGCATGAGAAGACAGACCTTGCTACAACACAACAGAGAGGCTCACACACTCCATAGGTAGAAGGGTAGAGTACATGTGCATGCATGGTAATGCTCCACCTGACACACTCCTGTTATTTTGACATGTTGTCAAGCACACATGCTTCAGCAATACACAATGTTGGGTCTTTCAACTGGTTCATGCCACTGGTTTATGACTGCATTATGAGTCATCTGACAGAAACATGTTTAAATGAAATACATGTCCATGTTTACCAGTGGTAACTGATAACAAGACATCACCCTATGCAAAGTTAATCACGGTACTCAATATGAGGCTTTGGCATGTTCTGCATCAGAGCGTCCTGTAATACCCATTCCAATCCTTGATTTTCTGGACAGAGATTCTGTGCAATGCTTCACTGCTAATACTTACTGATGTGAGGTGAAGGGAACAGTACTTTGCATTAAAAATATTCTTGTTTGTCACCCATTTTGGGTGGCAATTGTTATGGAGTACCGAAGTGACTAACACCGCGTTCCCACTTGATCCACCAACTGGGGGATCTGATCCACCTTTTGCCAAATTGCCGGATCAGATCCCCCAATTGGTGGATCAGATATGGCAATTGTGTGTAGTTGGAACGCTAACCGTTATAAGGTGGATCAGGATCAGATCCACCTTTCTTGATCCTCCTCTGGAGCAGGATACAGATCCCCCAATTGGTGGATCAGATCCTGCAATTGGTGGATCAGATCCAGCAATTGGCGGATCACGATCAGATGGGAACGCAAAAGGTGGATCAGATCCGGCAATTTGACCTGTCAACATCAGTCCGTGCATGAGTAGCGCCAAACTTTTGCGGTCTGATGAACAAAGAAGTACATTTTTTGGCCTGTAGCTCATGTGAAATTTTTAACATGCACAGCATGCACAATAAATAACTGCTGAACTACGGGCTAGCAAAATGTGTCACCACGTAGCGCAATGCATGCATGCCGCGATGTGTGCCTTGCCCTTTCACAATTTTTGTTGCGCATTTGTCCATTTCTTAACCTTTTTCATTTGTGTAATTTCACTTGCTTTCCATCAAAAACTAATTCCGTGTTAGCGTATAGCCCGCAGCGTGTGACAGAGTATCAAAAACGGAAGCAAAGTTTGAAAAGATAACGTACTAGGCTGAACATTTGGTCCAATTCAAGGTCGTCACGTCAGTGGAACTCCACACCCAAAACACCGCAAGGGTCACACGCATGCCGCCCAAGCACGCAACACTGCCAACTCAGCAAGCTAGCACATGCGCAATACCGAACTCAGTGACTTTTCAGGCTCGACATTTCCATCTGAAAAGGTGGATCAAACATACATGTAAGTGGGAATATGACTTGCGGTTTTGTCGCGGTAAGATAATGATCACACCAAAATGCCAGATCAAGATCCACCTTTTCCCAATTCAAGTGGAAACACACTGTAAGTCATGCGCACAATTATGTGTGCAAAAGGGATAGGCGCGAGAACCAGTGCGTGAACCAACATGCCTGCATACTCCATTCGTTTGTACGGCACTTCCTGATTTAAATGGATGTCACACTTCAGTACTCTACACTCTCATTGGCCGATTCAGGGGTTTGTCATTTAAGTTGTGCATCATTCCACGAATTTGTTTCATTTTTGGAGATCACTGTTTTGAGTAAAATCGAGAAAAATGCTGTTCATTTTTAACCCTCGAAGCACAGCTCACGCAAGTTGTCGCGCAAACGTCCCTCGGCCACAGGACACAACAGCCACTTTGCGACCAGATACATGTACATATGTAAACGTGCACAATCAACCACACAGTCATTGTTCACTCTCCACACGTACATATGTGGGTCAAACACCGTCCACATGCCATCAGTGCCTATCATAAACACTTTATAAATAAACAAATATGGTAATTATCCTTGCATTTTGGGCATGAGAGTTACTGTTATTGGAAAAACAGTCTCGAAAATGTCTCGAAATTGGAGATGTGTTCAAGAAAACTAGGCTTGGCTACGGAGTCCCAAAGGAACGGCCACTGGACCATACCATTATCTTAAGGGGTAGTAGCAAGATCACATGAGGTATACTTCCAACGTTTCATAAAGAAACTTTCATTTCAAACCAGTCCAGATTCTCCTTAAGACTGCTAGTTATGGTTATATATCTATTTTGTTAGTTAATAATGAGTTTAGGCTTCCCAAAGGCATGTTGGCAGTTAGTATGTTAGTATATTACCCGTCATAGACTCTTCTACCAGCTCAATGCTTCACACATATTTTCATTGCACCTGTTAATGGTTGCGGTATATGAACGAACTGTATTTTCCAAAGATCTTCCATTCGGAAGATACATGTATGTGGAAAAAACATGAAGTTTCTCTTTTCTCGAAAATGACAGCATTCCTGGCGGTAAGATTTCACAGATTGTCTGACACTATTATCTATTTAACACAGTAAGATATTTCAGGATAATTCAACAGTCCCATTTTTGACTTCCTGCAAGTTCTGTGCACTGCCTTTAACATGCTGCCCTTATAGTCTAAAAGATGGAAGTGTGTTCACATACGTATGACTGGGCCATAGGAACACTGGATAGGCCTACACCATTACCTTCCACAGTTGTTTTCAACAGTTCAAACTTTGGTCAGTCCATTTTTGTTCACTTTGACTTGGACAAATTAAACTTTCATTTCCCAATTCAACCTACGGTAGGTTTAAATCACAACCTCTCTGATACAGCCAATTCTAATTTGCATACAAGTGATTTCAACTCTTGTCTGAAATTTCACCTGAGCTTGCCACTGTTACTTCATTGTGTAATTTCATTTCTGAGAATTGTTTGTCAGAAACTTAAAGGGAATGTTCAAGGCTTGAAACCACTACATTTCCTGTCATAAGAACTGGCTTGTGAAAGAGTGCCTTGCCCGAGTACAATGCCCACAGTCATGATCTGACTCCAATGTGCAGTCCATTACGCAATGTACCAGGATCATTTAGGATATGAGTGGCCCAGAAATTCCTGACAAATAATCCTCAAGTCAAGTGATTTTGTCAGCCCTGACCTTACGGTCAACCACAATCAAGTGGAGTGGGTGACTGACTAAAGACCACTGACTGATCAAATACAATTGAAGGTTGTAACAATCTGAGTGGGATGTTGTTCAAATGTAAATGAGCTGATCACCCCGCATTACCGTTAAGCTAAAAAAAAAAAAGACATTTTATGTAACCACAACCATATGGACAGATTAAAGAAGATGTGAAGCAAGCCAATAACCTTTAAAATAAAATTTATATTTTGCTCTGCGTTAAAATTCTTGTCCAAATAGTTACCAATTGTTAATTAAAGGTAAGTATTACTAATGATCCATTTAGGTACATGTGATTCAAAGGTGCTCAAATTTGTAGGGATTTTCTAACTGTCTCGTCATTCCACCGTCAACTGCCCATTATTCATGAGACGACTGAGCCCAAGCCAAAGTCCAACTGGTGCCCTAACTTTATACTTCAATGGAAAATAAGTACCCGGCCATTCCGAGTTCTGTGACCTCACAGGGCAATGAACTTCATTCATGTTTCCATGCAAGCTCTGTGCACTTTACTCTGATATTTCTGGCGACATGTTACGCTTATCACAAATTCTTCAGTAGCATGAATATCACACCTTTCATTTCACATTCAAATCAAGCTCTGTACGGTACACTGTATGCTGAATGCATTATTCTAATCACAACTGTTTCATGGAAATATCCCACCCATCTGAGGAAAACCTGACATGTTGTACTACACCTATGCATGTGGGGTGCGAACAGGCAATTCTATAGACACAGCAGGTGTCTCCCATTTCCAAAGCATAAACTTCAGCTCTCCCTGTGAAACACTCCTCCACTAACGCTTTCCAAACTGTCCTCACTTGCGCTGTCAAATTTGGTAAAGAGATCTCCAATTCATTAATCGATGCTGCCGGCTATCACACTTGATGTATTTTTTCCCAATAACCATACTGCCTTTACTTTTATAGCCTTTTGTGTAATGTATTGATCTGGGAAGGTTGGACATTGAACACTGACGTCACAGCTAATCTAATATCTGACATACGTGAGTAAAACAGCTAACCATATTGCACGTTCTCAGGGTAACAGTTTAATGACTACCATTGTATTTGAACTTACAAGCAGTAACCCTTGTCAATGTCATTTTAAGCACCATTCGAAAATCAATTCCTTCAATTAATCTCTTAATTCATCAGCCAAGCATCAATGGAAGTCAATCATTACCTCACAGCATTCCACCGCCTCCCCCTAAAAAAACTACTGTCTAAATTGGGCACACAAGCAACATTATACAGTTGAACCTTGACAATAGGAGCGCAGTTAATGCAACATTCTGCTTATAACAAGGACATTTTTAGATCCAAATCCTTTGATTTTCTTTGTATTCATTCCTGATAATTACAAGGTTCCTGTAAAAACAAAGTACTCTACGAAGTCCAAAGGACCTCTAATAAATGAGGACTGACAGTACACATACAGGTGTACACTATACATTACCTTATAATTGTAACGAACTGGCTCATTGTCAATTCCTGGGGGACCAGAAATTTGGTCTTGTCTAGGAGGGGTAAGTTGACCTCTTTGTAGTATCTCTCAACAATCACCTGCAAAGAAACAAGAAAGTAATCAGAATAAGTTAGTGAAGCTGGTAACACAAATACATACATGTCCTTGCTGCCTAGTGTTCAATGGATCTCATATGTCAACTTGCAGTATATACAAATACATGTAAATGTCTGGTTATCAGGTTTCTCAACAGAGGAGCCAGCAATTTTTTTTAATGATGTAACCAACAATATTGAATAAACAACCATAATGTTTTCAGGCCAGCAACCCACTGGCTTTACAATGCAGTCAGGAGACAGGTCTGGATGTGGGTTAGAAACAATGTCTGAACACAGAAAAAGAAACCTGGTGTCAGAAGGCAGGAAAGTTTAAATAAAGAAACACATCCATATTTTGTCATCTCACAAATAAACATGTTTACACATTAGTTTATTATTTCTTTCAATTTACAAGATTTCTTTTTACCCAAATGTCACTGTGGTTTTTTTACACAACAAGAGGGTCAGCAGTAGCCACTGTCAAACACAGGGACCCTTTTCCAATCATTGCCAGGGGCTAGATTAACAGCTTTATGATTAACCAACTTCAAACCTGTGAATTTGAAATGAGCGACCAGCGTGTCGAATGACTCCGCACCTCATTTCATCGATGAAAAACAGGCATTTCCATACGTTGACAAAAGTACATGTAAAAGTCAGGCAGTACTGCCATTGTAAGCTAGAATGTTTTTACCCAAGGTCACATATTGTCTACATTTACAAATGTGCTTTTCAAACGTGAATCAGAAATACGCCAAATTTGCCAATGAACTGCCAATCAGAACATGAGTGCCCATGATACATGTATATAGCATTTCAATGCTGGTAAACACAAAAGAGCATGTTTCACTTCCTACTATGGAGTGAGGGGGGGGGGATATTGTAAACCTTCCCAACCCACAGTTTGATCCACAGCCCATGAAAAATAATAACCAACTCAAGCTGCAGAGTAAGCAACCGGGCTTGTTGGAACCAGACCAACCCAATACCAAGCCAGTCTCAGCCGACCTTCCACAGCCAACAGACCCCAAATGGATTTGTGGAAAACAGACATACCAATAACACATGCTGGGGGACTCTGCATAATGTTCAATTGTATGTGTAATGTTACACTTCAAGAGACACCCATGTATGGAATATGCAGCTGTCCCTGCTGTAATTCCCTGGGGACACTGGATCCCTGTTACAGCCAGCCTGTCCTGATGTTGATCCAGCAAGCAAAGATAGCAGGTCGTGATCTACTGCACTGAGGCAACAGGGCTCGTCATTAACTCTGCCAGACACTCAAATATGAATGAGCACAACCTTATCCTTCCCCTTCTACATTGTATGACAAATGTGGGGGGGGGCAGGTGCATCTGATACAGTCCTATGATTGGCAAGTGCACGTACAAATGTACAGTCAAACTACGGCTCGTTGGTTCATTTATGCGTATCCATGTCAAATGTGTATGATTCACTAGTGCAAATGTACGTCAAACTACATGTTTGGCCTTGTTTGTGTGCATGGATGAGCAATACCTACGGGTACATGTACATGAACGTGAAAAGACTTCAGACCTGAATTTTGCCCTCAATATCAACCAAATACACGCATACATGAACATCTGACACATCACATTATAAATACCAGTAAATGCAACCAGTAACCACCTCTGCATTTCAGCCTCTTTAGAGTTTCTGAAAATAAACCATCGATTATACAATACTGACTGCTTAGACCTACACAACGCATCGTGAGAACAAATATGCAGATTGCAGAGCCTTTGGAAACTTCAACTCAACAAGCACCGGAATACTCATGTACTACAGTGCTTGTGTATATGCAGAGGACTGCTGAATAATGACAAAACAGCACACATGTACACACCAGGCTCCACGTCAGTTGCTGTTGGCTGAAATGGCAGGGCAGAGGGAGATTTCTTTGTCGTTCTCCAAAGGTTGTCTGGAGAAAAGATCACTGGAGTAATGACATGTACGTGCTTGAAATACTGCATAAACGAACAGCTTGAAAACAAACACAGATTTCTCTTTTGTTGATCTGCAGTGGAGTACACACAAACGTTAACAGAGTAGGTCTGTAAAATATTCATAAATTATGAATCTCCAAATCTATCCCGGTGAAAATACTACAACCAAATCACAGAAAATCAACTGTGAACCACTACCTGCACCTAAAGATGTTTAAAATCTTTCATTCACTATCTAAATGAAATCACATTGAATTTCAGGCTATTCATAGTGAAAGACAACAACAGGTGAAAAGGCTTGCGGTAGCACCTTGCGAAGGAATATATATCTCTCTTATGAGTATGTGTGGTTCTGAAAAGAACCTGGAGTATACTCAACGTTTCGGACTACGTGCTCAGTGTCTCCTGACGACGGACTGAGCATGCAGTCCAAAATGTTGAGTATACTCCCGGTTCTTTTCAGAACCACATATACTCATAGAGAGATATATTCCTTTGCATGGTGCTACCGCAAGCCTTTCCACCTGTTGAAATCACATTATTGGGATAAATCTGAGGCAGCACTTGTAATAACTGACTTCGTCAAAACTTAAACAGTAGCTTAACAATGTAGAGCTTACTAAACAGGCACTGTCATTTTGAGGAATCTGAAAACATTTAACAAGTTTTGAGTATATATACGAGAGAAAAAATTCACACACATGCACCGGTATGATGTCAGTACGGTATGTTAATTACCAATGGGAGACAAAATAATCAGGCTTTTTAGGATGAGTAATCTGTTCATCCCTAAAGAATCTATTTGAAATATATACATAACATGCCGATGTATAATCTTGTCCGACTTGATCACACAATGTACCAAGTGTCATTGAGTAACGAGCTTGTTAACAGTTTTTTTCTGATATTGGACATGAATGATGGTGTAGCAGAACCGGCTTGTCTGCTGGCAGCCAGCCATGTATCTTTCATGCTGACAATTGAGCACCAAAATATGATTTCATTTCAAAGACACTATACAAACAAACTCTCGACACTACTACCAAGTTTTCTGAAGTGACTCATCTACCATTCAAACAAGCTTTCAGCTACTGTAAATGGCACGCACCATCCATCATGGCAGAGGTGCAGGCTAGGGGAACAAATACCACAGAGCGTCATAAACCAGTAATGCGGTATGCGTATTGTCAAATCACTTCTGGTTTTGTTACAGGTATTTAAGGGTCAGATTATCCATTAAGCACTGCCTAGGACCTTTGAATAATTTGGCCCCATCTGTACCGAAACTAGCAGGATTGAAAAAAGTACCACAGTGTGATATTTGGCAATGAACAAATATGGAAAGTTGTTCTAGCAGCTCAATCTGTGTCTTCTTGGAAGAGCTTTGCCTAGCAACACGTAGTGTACAGCTTTGTACTGCCTAATGTCTAAGCGAAATGCAAAGACTTTTCCACTAGTGTGCCAATCATTGCACCACTGGACTCTAGGACACATGCATCATGGCTGTTTCAAGATCATGTATAAATGTACAAATGTACCGGTGTACATGTATTTGATCCACACCATGCAACCATGACAGGATCTTGGGCTGGCTTTCCCTTCTTTCTTTGTGCTACCAGTAGTTCATTCATGTGTCACTAATGTCACTAAACTACCAAAGTAGCTTCTGTACAAAACAACCACAATAACGCTCACATAAAAGGTTGACACAAATGTAGACTGGTGCTTGGTCAAGAATGACCACGTGAGCTGCTCAATAGACTGGGAACTCAGTTGCAGAGTTTTTCGGTTATGGGTTGGATATCCCTTATGAAGTGTTTGTCTGTCAAACAATGTGCGAATGGTGCATCACCGGGGGTACATCATTAGACTCAGAATGGGGGGGGGGGACAGGGGGAAGGCAAGGGTGCATCTTGTAATTGACAGATGCATAACCAAAGCTATGAAATTGGCGTCGGTCTGCCGTAGTCAAGTCCATTCTCAAGTCTTTTTCACAAGAGTGACAGGGCGAGTCAACAGTAACAGGGTGACAATGACGAATGAGTGTTTTTGTCACAGTTCATTTGAGTGGCCTGTGAATTGTCTTAAAGGCCTTTTCACACTACACAAATCTCGGGGTTGACCCAGGGATGAAGCAGGGTTGAAAACTGGCGGCGATTCACACTTGAAAATTTTTGACCCTGCTCCAACCCCGAGATTGACTTCAACCCGGGTTGAACTCAACCCTGCTCCGGACCAGGATTGAGATTTTCACCCAAGACTGAAAATTGTTTGTGCTCATTTCTGGGTTGAACTCACCCCCGAAACAAGTGTGAAACAATGCTGGGTTGAATGCAGGGTTGAAAAATTCCATTTTCAACCCAGGGCAGCCATGGGCAAGCGGTTGAGTGCAACCTGGGTTGAGAGGCTGTAGTGGGAACAGGCCTTTAAGACTGAAGGACTTGTGATATGATGGACTTACACGATGGACTTGCTATGGGACTCACTTCATCACTAGCACTGGTGCCTGGGGAACACTGTTGTCTAAGTTATAGAATACATGTACTTAAATTCTGTAGCAAACTTTTACCTCTGTTGTTGGAACAAGTTAGTTTTGACTCAATTTTATTTGCTGTAAAAAGCCATTTTTCACTCATAACTGTATTGTTTGGAAAAAGCAATTTCAGAGGCAAACAGTTGACTGTCTGCAGCCCTTTCCAATTCAAGGACATTTTCCATTAACTCTCTATCCTTGCCTGAGGGAAGAGTTTGATACAGTTCATCATCAAGGAGTCTCATTTTATCAAAAGCTTGACCATACAAATCATGGGTGTTTTACAGAATTGCACTTGTGTAGCTGGGATTCAATTTACTAGGAACACAGCTGGATTTTGCATTTGTTTACTATATTTGTCTCTGACTAGTGCAACAAGGGGTGACTTCTTGGGCTGAGGTCAGAATGCCCACAATACCATGCAGCCTAGGTCACTTGCAACCATGAGATATTAATAACGGTGGTCTACATATGGAATACACACAAGGCAATGTTTCTCATCATATCATGATTCTGGTGGTATCTTTCAATTAATTGGTTTTGATTAAAATATTAGGAAAAAATCCCCTACGTTAATGTGAGAAATCCACTACATGGGCAATCAATTAATTTTACTTAGTTTCACTGTTCAGAAATGCCTGAACATTTGATGAACTCAATTATCAGTCTATTTGTCATAAAGAAATGCACAAATCGATGTCCCAGATTAACAGCATTCATATCAACCAACAATGTCATACCACTCAAGAATCGTTTTGAAGTCAAGTGCTTATTGAGAATCAAAAGACACTGCCGAAAAACAGTGACGTCTGAACAGGTTTGAGTCAACAAAGCTAGAGGATCACAGACACTGGATGGTGAATACACAAAGGTACTTCAGACTACAATATAAACTGATGACTTATGTAGACTGCCACAGCTGTAGAAACAAAGTTTTTGGACAAGATTCTTCCAAAGAGTACCGTACGTCCAAAACTAAAATGTACCAGTGGCAAGTGCACTAAGGCTGAGCACACCCGCCTACATCATACCCTGGTAGGACAATCCGCCTTTGCAGACATTATCAAAGGGCCACACATTAATTCAATACACATCGCCACCTTCATCCTGAGAAGACCCTCAATCTACATACATGTATATCTGGACCCTGCTGCCAGGGCCAAACATTCATTCTGCACCAAACTTTGCGAGACCCTGTAAATACAACATTTCACAGTGCCCAAGCCGTACTACAACCTACATCATCCTGCAATAGCCCCTTACCTCCCAAAATGCTTTGCAACTGCCCACGACAACCCACAATTTGCTGGTACTGTTTTACACACAATATAGTACACTGATACACGTACTTGATATCACAGTCAACAACATTAAATTGCCTGTTAATATCTATCTTCACGTACCATACATGTCATGTACATGTACAGTGTAAACCAGTTGGTGTCCATGTGACCAACATCTGAAATACAACTTCTCTCTCTCTTTTTGGGGGAGGGGAGGGAAAAAGTAACACAAAACATATGGTAACACTAAACATGACCGCACCCACAAACAAGTCATGTCTAGCAACCAGCCTCAAAGTGCACAGTACTGGTAACATTCAACCCTCAACGTTCAAAGCTTTTCCTATGCACACAGCCTGCAAACTTTCATACACCTTGACCAGTATACGTACATGTGCACAGTACCATTAGGTAGCTGTACCACGGGTACGTCCCCAATGCCTAAGAATACTCTTAATGTCAGCAGTGTTCCCGCTAATATTAATCCCATTCTTGAATGGACATTTGTAAAAAAATATAGCCAGTTTCCCATCCTGATTACCCGAGTAGCATTGTGCATACAGTGGTGTGAATCATCCATAATCCTTAAGAACTGTCCACTGTAAATATTTTCACATTGATTCCCGCAAATTGTTATCACTTTTGTGTCAATATTTGGCAGTTTTGTCCCCATTAAATCAGCACCAAAAAAAATGACCGACCTACCGACTCTCTTTTCAAGAGGCATATTATCGGAAGCAGAGCTACATGAATTGTTTTTCTTGGCCTTAAATGTAGACTGGGTCAACACCCTGCTTTCTACAGTATGACTCAACACATTGGCCACCTACACGTACAACAGAAAACAGAAGTCACTTCCTGGAAACAGTGTACAATGTACATGCATTTTATATCCCTGACCACCTCCACCTGACTTCTAACTCGAATGGCTGGGATATTACACAATATTGAAGAAACGCCAACTGTAAGGATTAAACAGGCATTAGTTATATCTGTAATCCTGTTCATAATACACAAAGGGATCAGTGAAGCCTGAAATGCTAAGGTCACAATCATCGTTGTGGTTGCCTCACCTGACCGACCCATCAAATCTGAATCTCTGGTTCAAATGCACCACTTAAGGTTCAAATACCGGTACAAGAACATTACCAGTACATAAGCACCGTTGAACTTGATATATTGATATTATCGAAATGGGTTTGATATCATTATCGCTGATTTTAGTTATTTGGTAATACTGATATATTGAAAATATCGGTTTTTGGAGAAATATCGAAACTTCGAAAACATCACAAAATTTATCCTCCAAAACAACGAATTATTTGCTAGTTATTAACCAAACATATGTAGACTAGCACCACGTGCTGATGATATCGCCATGCACGGCAGCATGTATCCCATCCCATGTTGGCAACAAACGCAATACATACGCTAGAACATGTAATCGAGAAACTATTTTTATATGTACAATTGTCCATACATAGACACACAGACTATTTATTCTGACTAACTCCCCAAACCAAGTGATTACAAAAATCCCAAACGACCCTCCAGGGAACAATACCGACATTTCCCATTCAACTGAGAGTCATCTTCACCCAAAAGCCATTGTTGAAAACACAGAGAAGGCCCATGCAAGCATCAACGCAGGTTGGGTAATATTTTCTCTCCAGGGGAGTTCCAGTTGATTCTACATGTAAGGTATACATCACTCCGTCAGTGCCATGCTTGATTAGGTGCAAATACAGTCTACATGTACAAATGTAAAATGCATTTATAATGAGATTGGGTACTATACAGTATGTCCAAGATTGCATGTTATTTTACAGGTATGACTGACACTGCAACCTAGATACTGGATCTCGAGGTACATGTACATTCAGTTATATTTCACCACAAACTTTACATGCAAATTATACAACGGATAGACCCTCACCATGACAAGTATAAACAATTATGCATTAAAGACATGTACTGTCCATCTACACTGTACACTGTCAGTATGGGTGTACGTGTGTGTGCGGGTCCGGTGATTTACCCAGCAAACCTTGCACTATTGAACCTGAACTCAAGGGGGGCTCTTCCAGAATACTCCTTAATGTCACACCATTCATGAAACTAGGGCCAAAGTCTTTGCACTTGGCCCTTCCAGGAGTCATCAAATCCAACAAGAAATAAAAGTTGACCAGTTCTACCTCGCTAAACCCTACAAAATCCTCCATAATCTTCTAGTAGACTTTGAAAGGGTGTAAAGCTTTAGGAATCAACAAATCTGTTATTACTGTTGGCCCAAAAGTGTCATCCCCACTTTGGTTGCAGAAAGAAGACATGCATACAACATGTACATGCTTCGGGGGTGTGGCCCCTCGAAAATCAATCTTCATATTGAATTCATAATCCCCTACATGTATAACTGCACTTGTTATGAGCTTTCCACTCAGTCATCACTCAAAAACAAATCATCCATGATAAGTAATAAAATAATTTCAATTTTAGAATCCTGCTTCAAATTAGGAGGCAGGTGGAGCTAGAGTGAACATGCATTTTTAAACTGCAGTTAAGGAATAAAATCTTAGCAATACATGTCATGAGTGTGTGTGTACACTACTGGTATATGTATGTAGTGTCAACCGCCCCGTATGTGCATCAAGTACCTAGGACTGAACAAGACAAAAATCATGTGATGCGTGATTAAAATACTAGCAAGCCACATCACTTGATACGAATGATAACAGAGATTTCGCTGCAAACTTCTTGAGCTGCTGTGTGCTTAAGCACTTTTTGAACTGCATAACAGCCTGCAATCAATTACTGGCAACTTACCGGATGTCACGTTCCTTCAACATTTGATCAGAAAAGAACATTGGTATTTTGAAAAAGGTTGGACAATACAGCTTCAAGTTTTAATGACTAAAACAAGCAAAATCTGCAATTTGAAGACTGAAAACCAAGTGCACTGCAAACTTGTGTTATTCAATCCTAACCCCCAAGGTTCACGTCAAATTATCTTGAAATCAGAGGATTTGCCTCCATTCCTGTAAAACTGCTTTACTCAAGGAAAATGAATACTTCCAGAATATTTACAATATCCTTTAGAAGAGCACCTTTTAATTTGGAAGTACAAACTGATTGGTGGCATTGGAGTTGTTTAGTGTTGCATGTAGAAGACAGGCATGCCTCATGGAAATTTCAGGAAATACATCCCTATAGCTGTTGACAACATGGAGGAACCCCTGATCTCTGTATTAACTTATCTGAACAGGTCACTAATTGTTTGTATACGAAGTGATCACCGCATTACCAATCTGTGAACAGTTGACCTACAGGTACAAAGTTTGGGAATTATTGGAGTGGTCGTGACTGGTCCCCGTGCCACACTCCAATGGAAGGTTTGGAAGCCAGTACACAGCTTCACTCAACTGTACAGGTAGTACCTTGTACAACTCAGAAAGGCCTAACATCCAGTGGAAGGAACTTACTGGGATTTTGTTAGGGAACTTCGCTCTGATACCAGCCACTTCCTCTTTTCTTGCAGCTGAAATTGAAAAAAAAAGACTTCTTTATGATTTACGTGATAATGAAATTATAGACATCAAAGCATTGGGCCTGAGTTTGATTTAAATTCTCAAGTGGCTCGTACATGAAAATCCCATGTCACCCTAACAGCTGAATGGGCGGAGCGTGACCTCAAATGTAAGGCATAAGAAACTCACAATCAAATGACCCTGGTTGCTGATATACATTTGGTTTTCAAAGTCATAATGTATACATGTGGATACATCAATCATAGCAGCAAATTACCCACAATACTTTCTTCTTCCTCCAAGAAATGCACGAACTTCATACATGTATATTTGAAGACTCAGGCACATTGTCATCAAAATGAGAAGCAGTTATATTATAGAGGTGGGAGGAAAACCCCTGAGGAATACTGTGGCCAAAACCTACGGAATCAAGTACAGGTAGGGACTGAGAACCAAATCCACACAAGGACCCAGTCAGGAATCAAACATGGACCATTTCCAATTATTTTTTTGGGGGGGGTTGCTGAACAAAATAAGAAATTTGCCTATACACTTGGATCCTGAGTGCATGCAGAAAGGCCAATTTACAAACAAGTCTATCCAATGTTGCTACTAACTCTTGCATGGCTGGTTAATACATTGGCATCATAATTGATCCAATGCACCACATCGCACCGGATTGGTGCCCTGTGGTCCATTCCCATGGTTGACAATTTTAAGTACATGGTACATTGGTAGGCAAATTCAGTTCATTGCTGGATAGCCTATGTGCCGGATGAAACGTGCTTGACCAGTTCACAGCAAAATGTAGCCAGTACGCTTTGTTATCAAAACTTAATGTAACTAAATCGATGTTCAGCCTGAAAATATTTTCAACATGTTCAAACATGTCGAACTAGGCCTATACTGAGATGAGAATAATAAGCGTTAGTCTAACATGCTTCAGACTTTTTTAAATCAACACATTTGCATGGGCAATCCGACACTTAAATTGGCCTAGGCCCTACCTGTGAACAAGAAACGCGTCGGGTAGGGCGAAGCAACAATATGGCAAAGTGGCAAGGGAATTATTATGAACGCAGCCGAGTGACTTACCGAAGCTCTTTCTCTGTTTGAAGGATTTAGTTGATGTGTTCCGGTCAGTCATGGTGGCGTTGATAAAAAGCACCAATTAACGTGAAACACCTGTTGACACTCAGCACTCTCGAAACTAATTAAAGCAGTAGGCTATCCTTTCGCTCTCCAAAGAGAAAATGTTCCTAGACTTGTTAGTTCACCACATCTTCAACAACATATTGACATCAATCTGACCCGCATCTATAGCCACTATATGCACAGCGATGTCGACGTCTCCATCCACCGTACTGAACTCAACTCTCCGCTCAGCTAGCTCAAATGCACTGACCCTGAAACGCTACGTCACAAACATTGCCAACATGGCGATCAATAATGACGTCACTACACTTTCTCCAATTTTCATTGGTTGGTTGATAGATTGAGGTCGCTGTAGCTCTCTTGGCTTTTCGCACCTGTCTGTGGTTCACACACACCACCAATGATAATCGTGTAATACAATGTTCAATGTACATGCTCATTGTTCCGCGTTGATGCTACCTGGGCAGACTTCATCATGGTCACTAAAACTCGGCCTTCAACCTTTCTTATTGTGTCCGCTTGTGCGTCGAGCCTTGATTTCCGCGGCTGAATTTATCACGCACCCGAGCATTCGTGCAATATGTGTTGGCACAAATCAGATTTGATTGGTGCACTCTGTCTTAGGAAATGTCAATAAACTGATCAGAGGAACGGTTCTTGTAGGAGGCGGCCAAAGGATGGGATAAATCCTTTATGGTATATGCACATGTATGTGGTTATCTTCTCCCGGCAAAACACATTATGAAGCAAGATATGAGACAGACAGATCATTATCTCACTGGAATCTGAGGAATTCTTTTCAGACATTTGAGGGGATATGTTGGGTAACAATAGTCTAGAGTTGTATAGTGATTGAACATGTGTGTGGGGGGGTACCCCTCGGTCTCATTTCTTGCTGGATCCCTCCTTCCTCCATGATATAACAAAACATAAATCCTTGTTAGAAGCAAAATTGTAACATTGAGAAGTAGTGACACATTTTCAAAAGTTGCTCACTTTAGGGCATTTTTTCCATCCTAGCATTATTGCTTGTTCGGAAACCACGAGGTTCTTTCCCTTATTCCTAAGTTAAGAAATAACTTGTGGGACAAGCTTGGCCGACGCCGGCGTTGCGAATAACTGGTCATTTAAATCCTTCAGCGTATAAATCACTTGTGCAGGGAACTTGGGTGCACCCCTGCAAATAGGTCAGAAATATGTCCGCTGAGCTCATTAATAGAAGTTATACCATTAAAATTATCTGAGAGTCCTGGGGAATTGAAGAAACATGACAACGATCGCCTCTGGCCTGCCAGGACTTTGGGGCTTCTAATGCCGAGCAATATAGATGCAATCGGGTCCGCAAGTGGCACGATTTAACCGTTTTGAGAGGGATGCGTTTTTAAAATGGCTACTTTTCCGGGCAGTGAGATTTCCTTCGTTTTAGGGGCGGTTTGCTTTAGGTGAGAATTTCTAAAAAAATCATCGGTCAAACCACTAAAAATTGAAAGAGAAATGAAAAATTGAAAGAGGACACGTCAAACATTATTTTTCTGTTCAGCCTGGACACCTGTGGGAGTTGTATTTTAAAAATAAGTTTGAAATATAAGGATTTATCATTGGTGTCTATGGGAATTTATTTTTAGGGGTGCACCCTTGGGGATGGATATGATGGGACATGGGGAATTGCAAGGGGGGACTTGTCAGGCCACGGAAATTGAAAGGGGGGTGTCTGAGAATATGTGACGCCAGGGGGTGATGTTCATAATACGTGTGCATCTGTAATGTACATGTATTACCTGACGTCAAAACAGCGTATCAGTTGCTAAAGATGATACATTTTGGTTGTTGGGAAGTCCGCAAAATTCTTCTCTTTCAATGCACTGTACCGGTAATTCTTTTCTCACCACGAAAAAGTCGAGGGGGGTGATTAAAAGCGCTTCCCCTGTCTGAAAGTGAGGGGGTATACAGGCCCAGAAATTGTCCTTTATTTGTAAAATACAAATAGTAAATGTTTTACAATCGTCCAGTAGCAAGGATATCATCCGATGATGACAGAGTGTTCTATTCCATCTGTCGATTCTTTCCCTTGCATGAAAGTGTACATTTAATCATTTGTTTATAAAACGCAAAAATTAATCATGCTGTTAAGGACAAGTGCAATTTCATAAGTACAGGAATTATCGCCCCAAGGACTGATTTGGAACATGGCAACTTCCCGTCGCGATTTTCTACACAACCGAGAGTGGAAAACAGCGACTCGTACTCGCACGTTGTGTAAAACGGAGTAAACACCGAGGCAGCAGTCCCATTCTAAATTGCGGGCAAAATAAAGTGACGAATTAACAAGGCTGAAGATCAGCCTTGATGCGTTTTAACGCAATTCCACTGTATGACCTCCTTGGTTCACGTATTATCTCACTTCAGGGACTTCTTTTAAGACAGTAGGAAAATAATGGTACATGCACTCGTAATCTACATATTAGTCTCGTGTCACACAATACAATAAAGACAAGTCAGACTCGTGGGTTAGGGGCCTGGCCTCGCGTCATTTCCTGTGATTTTCCTCCAAGTGTGAGTTCATTTCCACTCGACTTTCCTGTATTTCTAACGACTTTACTGTATTTCCAACTTTCCCGTATTCCCTAAATGATCAAGTATCCTCAACTCACACTTTAGGAAGAGAAAACAAGAAAGACAGGGAGGAAAAGGTGAATGGACAGGTGTCCCCCCCAGATCTGCTCCTTGAAGCTACCGATTGACGTATTTCACAAGTAAGCAATGACGAGGTTGACGCGAACAACGTGTGCATCCAGTAAACTGCACTTAGTTACACAACACGACCACAGGGCTCGCTTTTGCCGGCGTATATGCACAGTACAGGGATCACGAGTGCCGAGTTCTGCGGTTGGTTCGATTTTTCATCCAATGACTTATGTCACATTCAAGTTGGACATGTCATACAAGTAGTCAATTTCATAACTTCAAAGCGAAAGCGCAACTTCAGAGTTCTGTCATTAAATTGTGCAATACACTGCAGCAGGCCGAACTGACACGCCAGCGCTATAGTCACCGAGAAGCGCCACGCTAAGAGAGCTTTCCTAATGCTACGCCCGCAGCGCCGTCAATTTGGGAAGTTGTGGGGACAGAATTCCATAGAGACGGAGGGAAGAAAACAATTTTTCGTTTGTTTCTCGTCATTACAATGTACCAATATTCATCTCTCTGTGTGAGCACAACACAAATGTTTAAAACGAGAAAATAAAACTTGGACAATCTAGAAAAACTTTTAATAATGAAATGCCTCTCTATAAACCAAAAACTGACATAAAAGTAATTTGCAGGATGCTGGTATTTTCACCAGGCTGAAAACCCGATACGATCCACTAACTAAAGATTCCGCTTGAAAGTCAAGTATATCGTTTACACCAAAAAAAATGTGTATTTTACACAAAAATGAGAGGACAAAATGTACAGGAGTGACAAGTAACAAGATCGCGAGTAAAGCTGTTCCCATTTAACAGCTTTATAAAATTTGGTCTCACTGCATGCGTATTCTGTGACTGTATTCTGAATTTTGTTAGGATGTACATTTGTTAATTTTGAGTTCATTCACAAATAAGAAAAATGACTGAAGCTGATTGTCAAAAGGGATAATGGAAGATCACCTAAATGCACTTGAAATGTTACATGTCCAATTTCCATACTAGGCAGTATTGAACTACACAGTATTTTTTTGGAAGCATGATTGGAAGTTTCCTTTTTTCAATGGTTTCTTTGACTAACCCTAACAGTCCCAAATCCTCCAATTTCAATATGATTTTACATACACCCTAGGGGTTAAGGCTAAGCAAAGCAACCACTGATATAAAGTGTTTAAACTGTTTAACAACTAAATAGTACTAATACTTTAATTATTTTTATTGACAAACAACATGTTATAGGAGTAACTATTTGAATTAAAACTAGCATTAAAAACCCCTTAGCCAGCTTACACATTTTCAGGTATTATTGTATGTGAGTCCAACTTTTTAATGTGGTCATTGTGTTTACTGACGACTTAACTATAGGAATAGTTTATTCAAGGTTGTACATTTATAGCGTGCTTTCAAACTTGTTGGAAGAAGGTGGGACTTACAATGTGAATATCCCACTAAAAAAAAATGGCACCAAACAGCAAAGGCGGATGTGCCATTTTCTGCGTGGTATTTAGTAACATGAGAACTCTTTTCATGTTTGAGTTTTTCACTGCACATTATATCAGTTGGAATTTTATATCCGCAAATCACAGGATCGTTTGTTAGATTTTCAGCGGTGTGCAGTGTCATAATCATTGCTGCACACGTAACATTCTGGTGTCATCATTATGGACTTCAAAAACAGGAATGCAACATTATTTAAAACTTACGCATGTACACAAATTGGCTAACTGCCAACTAAGAATAAGAGCTTAAACATTGTTCCGAGAAAAAAAATAGACATGTAGGGAATCAGTTTGTCGACTCTTCCTGACAACAGTAGCTTTGTAAACCAAAAATCGTAAAAAATGACTCCAGTGATCAATGTCTGCATGCATTAAGCCCAGGCCTTACCACCTGAACAGGACAGTTTCATTTCTTAGGAATGTTGGGACCGAGCTGTGGGGACAAAAAATTGTCCTCATAAACCCTTTGGTCCTTAAATGTCTACAGGTATACCTACATGAGTGCAGTAACACAACTACGGAACAATGTGTGTTCCTATGATACCAAACATAGAAAATGAAGATAGAACTACGGGAAAATGTATGAAAGACAGAGTTCCACAGTTGGTAAATTTTAAATGATATCCAAAATTTTAACTAGATGCACATTTTCTTTTACAGGGAATTTTCTTATGTACGGCTGAATTTTTCTCTGTTTTTTGAGCTGGAACACTCACCCACAAAATTGACAAAAGGATTCCTTGAACACAAACACTTGGTGACACAGTGCGTTTTAAGCCACTTCTGTAACAAGTCATCCCACGGGCTCTGAGAAATATGGCCACTGAAACGTTTAACAAGAATCAGGCGACAGCATGGCTTCTCATAAAATGCCCGACTCGGAATTCCTTTCAAGAAAATCTGTGTTCACTGTATTTGGCAGTTCTCCTCCTTGTCATTTTGCCCGGCCACGGTCTGCTGCCTCCTAGGGTGATCTGGGGACTTGTTCAGGCTCAGACGACGCTTGGGCTTGCCGACCTGCCGACGTTTGGCGGCTTCGGTGGTCGTCGTGGTCACCTTCCTGGGACTGTTGGTGATGGTCCCCAAGGCCGCAGGGTTAGGCCCAACCTTTCAGATCAAAAGCCAACAATAGAAAAGGTTGAAGAACTGTTGCAAAGACCAACGACAGATGAGCAAGAGAGAAGCAGGGACCGTAAAGAAATGGCCAAGGAAGGTGTACTCATGTCTCACACAATGCACATGTATTTGAAAACATCATTACAATCACATGTTACAGAATACAAAAGAGCATGTTCCCAAAGTGCTCTGCCCAAATTTTTTTAGGCTGCTTCTCACGTCTGACCATTTTAGTACCATAGTCTAACCATATATAGCACCATTGCTTGTGTACGGTTCTTCAGCATTGAAATCACTGCAAACTATTATTTGTCGATTTACAATTTACTGTCAAAAGTGAAAAATGGCCGAAGCAGTGCCTTGGCATATTCAATTTGTAACAGGTCACACATGCGTACAGCACATCCACTTTGTTCAGAAAAATTAAAACAGACAGATCGATACATATTTTGGTTAGACAAAAACCAGATGGTTTTCATGTCCAACTATTCTTTTATCCTCTAGACAATGTTAATGCTCGGCTCTATGTAAATGTGCAGAGGCAATCTTCTGTTTGCTTAACGCCCAAACCTGACTCAACTGATCCAGAAGTAAGCCTTCAATATCACCTTGTAATGAACCTACCTCGCCTGATAACTGCTGGCTGCGCGTGACCCGGTTCGTCTCGCCCTGCGAGGACGACACTCTGAAGCTGAATCCCGACTGCTGGTTTTGGCTGCTGTCAGCAGGCAGGATGCTGTCTTTGGTTTGCTGCTGCTGATGCTGTGGCTCCACATCCCGTGCTCTGTGGCTACTGCGGGTGGTGGCACGTGTGGCAGTTGGTGGCCTAATTCGACTCCTGGTAAGTCTTCCGGCTAAAAGAACACCATCAGAAATCATAAACCTTTCCGTCAACCAAAGGCTACGGCTAACGATTCATTTGCAAGTGGAAATAACTGCATCGTCTGTATATCTTTGAAGGAAATATCACTTCACATGGATGCACTGTCTTAATATGCAATTCTCGAAATAACTGCATCGTCTGTATATCTTTGAAGGAAATATCACTTCACATGGATGCACTGTCTTAATATGCAATTCTCGAGATAAAGAAAAATGCAGACAAACATCCAGGCTTGGAAACCAATTTCAAAAATGTTCCACGTCCATTTTGTGTTTTCACAGACTTGGGAAAAAAAGTCCAGGTAATATCTTCAATAGGTGATACAAGTCAAGTCTCTGATGAAAATCCAACCTTACACCGCTTGACCCTAAGTGAAACAGCCAGAAACTTAGTGACTGTCTTTGCAAATAATAAAATACAGCACAGTTCAAGCCACAAACAATCGTTTGACACTTGCCTCTATTCCTAAGGTCTGCAGGTTGTTCCTTTGATTGGTCTGGCTGACTGCCATCATCACCGCTCTGGTGCCTGGTGCGTTTGGTCTCTGCAGGCTTCACGGGAGTGCTCAGGGGGCGTTTGCCAGTCCGCACGGGCAAGTGGCTGGCGTGGTTATTCGCCGCCCTGTCATTTTGACCAGAGGATTCAGGTTTGTCACCTGAAGGCCTGTCGTCGTTCTTTGGCTCTTTGCTCATGGGCTTCAACGCTGGCTCGTTGGTTGTAAAGTTCGGCTGTACTGCAGGCTCCTTGTTGTTGGAATGCCTCCGCGATGACAGTCTGGTTATCCTTCTGCCAGGACTTGGAGTTTTGGTAGGCTGAACAGCAGCAGCAACTGGTACTGCAGCAGGTGCTGGTAAAACAACAGGTGGTGCCGTTGCTGGCTGAAGCTCAGCTGATGGTTGAGCTTTAGATCGGGCATCACCATTCGGGATTTGATGTTTCGGAAGCAAACCTGATTTACCTGTAGCGTCACTGACTTGGACAGGTACATTTGAGGATGCCTCGGTTGGCTTGATATTATTTGATTTCAATATCTTGGCATCCCTCACCAGTTTGGTCAGAGCCTTGACTTGGCAGGCCAGCGTTTCATTGGTGCCTTCCAGCTTCTGGTTGCGCCTGATCAGCTGCGCCAGCTTCTTCAGGTGCTGGTTGGCTTCCACCTCATTGGTCTGGGCCAGCTCTCTCAGGCTCTCAGCCTCATCTGTCTTCTCTTCCAGCATCCTCCTGAGTTCCTCCACTTCAGGGCTGGTCTCAGCATCGCTTGCTGGTCTCCTAGATCCCGATTTCGTATCTCTCATCTCGGCTTCAATCTCTGCCACGTGATTGTGAAGGCTAGACAGGTCTCTCTCCAGCCGGCGGGCATTGTTCAGGGAGAACTGGAGCTTCCCCTGAAGCGACTCTTTGTCCTTCCGCAGCTCCTCCGAGTTCTTCATCAGCTCCTGCACCCTGGCTTCGCTGTCTTTCAGAGACTGCTCACCAAGCCCTTTTGCCTTTTCCAGGGTTTCCTCCGCTCTGGCACGAGCCGATTTTTCGTCAGCGAGTTGCCCGCGGAGTTTCGTGCACTGTGCCTCCATCTTTTTCAGTGCTTGTTGTTGCTGCTGCCCCGGTGATAGTTCTTGCTCAGCTCTCCTCAGCTTGATACTCATCGTCTTCGTAGCTTGGTTAGTCTTCTCAATAGATAACTTGAGTTCTTCACATTCTAATTTCTTCTTTTGCAGTTTCTCCTCCTACAAACAAGAAACGCGAAAACAACAAGAAAACTGAGGGGACTGAATTGAAGACTACATTCACAGACTTATAAGGATGACGGATCATCTTTAGCAAATTTGCCCACACATGCATCATGCACAGGTTTTGAAAAATGCTTTAGAAGCCTAGGACAAAAGAATCATTTATTACAGTCACTGAATAAACGACATACAATGCATCAAACCAGACTCTCCTCAAAGTGTATTATTTTGAATAAAGTATCACTGTTAATACTCCCTGAAATACAGTTAAATAATGCATTTGTTGGCAGTTGGGCAGGGCTAATTCATGAATAATACAAATCCCCTTGACTTTTACATCATAAAATCACACCCTCCTGCTTCGCACAATTCCAGGGCGGGTCCAAAATTTTCAGAAAAGGGGGGCAAACTTGGAGGGTCAAATGCAAGAGTACAGTGCAAAGCTCTTACTCATTATGAACACGCAATAGAGCTAGTTTATAATTTGTCATGCATGGGGGAGGGGCTTAGTGCACCCCCCTTTAAAATCCATCATCCCAACTCCCCTCTCAACCATCCTACTCCTGACTGACCTGCTCTTCAGCCTGGGTTTGAAGTCTCTGCAGCTCTTCCCTGGCACTTGCCCAGGATTCTTCTGATTGGTCCTTCTCGACACGCAATGTCTCCAGCAGCTTCTCTATATCCGAGACATTTGTTTTCTCGGTTTCCAGCTTTTCTTCCAGCACTGCAATTTGGTGACCATGCTGTGAATGATAAAGGCAACAAAAGGCACCACTTTAATCCATCGTAAAACAGGGCAGAGATGTGAACTATGAAGTCGCACGGGGCACTTCTGAGGGGAAACTTTAGTGACCTGTTCTGAAGGTTTGCAAGCTGCGCAGTCAGGGATACGTTGTAACAGCATTAACCAATTAGCACTCAGGTTACTTGTGTTTCAGAGTTCATGTAAGTAATCTCTGATGAATCCATACAAACCATACAATGCTACACCTGATCAGAGGGTACAGGGAGTAACAGGCAGGGTGGTAGAGAGCAATATAGAAAATAACGGATTAGTTCTCTTCATGGGAAATCACAAGCTTGAGGAACATAATGTTGAACTGAACGAAAATGTACAAATGTATCAAAATGAGATGTTTCAGCTAAAATTTGAAAAAATGCAGAGATCTGTGAATCCATCTAAGAGTTGCTCACCTGTATTGAGTTAAATGACTATGTGGGAATGCTTGCCGCATAAGGGTTATTACATGTATGTGCAAGCTTACATCGAGATCAGGGTATACATTCCAGCGGCAGATCTCATACTATATGCAGTGAAAAGCAAAATTAGCTGTCGCCTGACCTCTTCCTGCATGGCAGTGACCTCAATCTTAGACTCCTCCTCCAGCGCCATTAACCTCCGCTCAAATCCTTCAACCTGTGTCCGCAGGTCAGCTTGGAGTCTGAGCAGCTCCTCGTGCTTCGCCTGTAGACTCTTCTCAAGGTCGTTCTTCTCACTGCTGAGAGCTTTAAGCTCCAACTGCATGAGTTGGTCAGATTAAAAAAATACATATATTTTAAAAGCCACTGAATCCCATTCAAATAAGCACTGAACTTTATCACTAGCTATATTTATTTTTGAGAATTTCCTTTGCAACCTTTTTTTTTTTACGACCCGGAGCACATTACAGCCATTTAAAAATTATATTTTAACAAGATTAATCAAAACTGCAAAAAAAATATCCAACATTTCTTTCCATCTGCAGAGTTTTGGAGACTACTACAATTTCATCTAATCTGGGTAGTTATAAGTATTAAGGTACTAATGAACTCAAAGCAGTTACAGATTTCCTGTTGCTTGCGGTACAGGAGTAGGTAATTAGTCATTCTTGCTGACAGGAAAGACATCCTGGAATCCTAATACTTTAGTATTGGCACTGGGAAAGTGACGCTGACCTGACTACTTCAATGTTTATGACTTCTAGTTTTCTATCACAACTTTGTTTGACATTTACGTTCTTTGAAATGTACGGTTGATCATTCAAATGGAATGTGGTCACAGGATGCTGTCACAATTAAAGTTCATCAATTCACGTGTCACTGGTGAAAAAACTACCTTTTTGCTCTCTGTTACTGTATCAAGGTTCATCTTAGCCTCCTCAAGTTCTACAGTCAACACTTCCACTCTTTGAATGGTGCTGTTCTCCATCTCTCGCAGGGCTTCTTCCAGGCTCAGGCATCGTTTATCGCCCTCCTCTAGCTCAGTCCTGAGTTGAGACAGCTTGGCCTCCTTGGTGGTGCTTGACTCTTGTGCTTGCCTGGCAAGTAGCTGCAGTTCTGCTTTCTCTGACACCAGCAGTGAGATTTGTTCCTCCATTGCTTGGGTCTCTGATTGCAGAGTGTTCAACTGAGCTTCCAACTCGGCCTTTTCCGCCTTAAACTGCAGTGTTTTGGACTCAGCAGCATTCAGCTGTTCTTCCATTGCACAGTTCCTGGACTCCTTCTTCTGTAATTGACTGTTCAGGTCCTCCAGTGTACGTGCTATTTCATTGTGTTCATATTCCACTACCTTGACTTGATCGGCCAAGTCCATCCTTTCTGACTTCAAACTTTCGTTCTCTGATGTGACTTGGGCTAGTCTCAGATTCAGGTTTTCAAGTTCTGGCCTCAAAGATGCGAGGGTTTCATCCAGAACCGCCTTCTCACGAGAAATATTTTCAAGCTGCTCGGAATGATAGTGAAGTTGTTCTCGTAGCTCATCTTCTTTGGCCTGAAGATCAGTGGTTGTTTCATGAAATCTTTTGGATATTTCTTCTTTTTCAGACTCCAAAGACTGGATATTTTGAGTGAGGTTAGCAATTTTTTCTTCGGCAGCAGACAACTCTATCAGTTTATCTTGAAGGCTCTCTGTCACATCCCAGTTGTCGCTATTAGCTTCCTCTAGACTTTTCTGTGTAGTTCTCAATGCCTCGGTCAAATCTCCTATCTCTTTTTCTGTTGCCTCCAAAGAAGCTTGAAGGCTTGCAATTTTTGAGTTCTTCTCATTGATGTCTTTTTCGTTCGACTTAATTTCATCTTCAAGTTCTCCCCTTTCCAGTAACTCCTTACTATGATTAGTTTGAATAGAATCCATTATCTCTAAAGTCTGGTTCTTCTCCTGCTGCAGCTGACTGACTCCCAAAGTCAACTGCTCAATCTTCTGTCTGGAGTCAGCTTGCTGGAGACTGAGTTGTGTCTTCAGGTCTGCAGTCTCAATCGTGAGGGTTTGAACCTTGAGATTTATCTCTTGGTTCTCCGCAGCAAGTTCATTCCTCTCTTTGGTGAGGGCATCAAGCTCTTGTTGAATCTCTGAGGTGGAGACAAGCCCCCTCCTCTCTGCTTCCTGCTGTGCAGCTCCCGCATTGGCCACCAATTCCAACAGCTCGGTTATCTTTCTCGCTTGCTCGGCAATAGTTGATTCAAACAGTGCAAGCTGGCATTCCACTTGGCTGCGATCAGTTTCATTGCTGCTTATCTCGTTTTCCAGCCCCTTGCAAGCATCTTTCATCTCTTGTGCTTCTGTCTGCTTCAATATCAATTCCTCTTCTGTCGCCCTCTTCTGTTGCTCCTTCAGTGAAACTTCTTGGGCCAGGTTCTCCAATTCTTTTTCATTATCCTTCAGTCTGATCTGTAATGCTTCCAGCTGTTTTTCCAGGTCAGATTTTTCGAGGAGTGAGGTGGAGAGGGCGTTCTTAACATCCCGAGTCTCTTGCTGTGCTGAAGACACCTTTTCTGTAGAAGACTGCAGAGAAGAAAGCGCTTCCTCCTTTTCAATTTCTAATCTGCCAATCAGAGACTCCTTTTCGTGCAATTTCATTGTCAGAGATTCAACATCACTGTTTGACAATTTGGCCTTTTCTAGATGATCCAATTTGGCAGCACTCTCCTGAGATACCTGCTGTTGGAGATTTCCTATCATTCCCTCAAGATCTTCCATCTTTCTTGACAGGCCGGTATTTTCATCCTGCATTTGTGCCTTCTGCTCCTGGGTCAATTTCAAAGATTCTTGAGCTTCGAGCATCTCTTGGCTAAGGTTTTCGTATTTACTGACCAATTCTTTGTTCTCTGACTGCAGCGATTGAAAAGCACTTGTTCTTTCTCCTGCCTCATCTTGAAGATTGGTACAAATGTCCTGGAGTTTACACACGTCAATTCTCTGAGATTCCATTTCTGTTTCCAAGGATTGCCTGACCTCTTCCATCTGGTCCTTCTGCTTGAGCAGCTCATTTTGCTTGGACTGATAATGCTCCACTTCAGTGGACAGCACCTGCAGCTGGCTGGTGGCATCGTCCAAATCTGCCTGAAGCTTTACCCGTCTTCCTCTTAGCTTGTCTATTTCATCTTTCAGACTCTCATTCTCAGCACCCATATCATCCATTCTTGCCTTTTGGTCCTCCGTGGTGAAACCCTGCAATTCTGCCTCATTCTTCAAGATGCTCAGTTGATACTCATGCTCATCCCTTTCCTTCCTTGAAGAATCCAGCTGCTGAAGTAGATCACTTATCCTTCGGTCGGCACGTTCCTTTTCCTCTTGGAAATGCTGAAGCTTTGTTACAAGTTCTTCTTTGACTGCATCTGAAAAATCGTTGCCGTCTGCCACACTCTGCTTCAGTGAGACCACCTCCAGCTCCAGGATGTTTTTACTCTCAAGAAGGTCCTCTGCCTCTCTCTGTGTCATTTCCAGCTTGTGTGACAGACCCTCCTTCCTTTTTTCTAGAAGACTGATCTGATGCTCAAGCTCTTCTCTAACCTGGGAATTCTCCCTGTCAGCAATTGCCAAAGCGTCACGCTGCTCTCGAACCTCTGTCTGCAGGGCCTCGATGCGCTCAATGGAGGCCACCAACTTCTGGTTGCTCTCCGTTTGAGCATTTTTGAGCTGGTGGAGCTCAATGTCTTTTTCTTCTGAGTAGTTCTTCATTTCCACAAGTGTCGTCTCCAGCTGTAACTTCTCTTTCTTCAGACAAGCGAGATCATGTTCCAAAGACTCCCTATGTACTACGGACATTTCCCTTGTCTTGTGTAGGTCTTCTTGCAGCTTAACATTGCACATCTTCTCAGCATCCAGAGCATCTTGATGTTCTTGAGCAAGTGTGTCCAACTTCCTTCTCAATTGCTCTGTCTCATCTCTGTGACTTTTTTCAGCCAGTTCCAGCCTTTCCTCACTTTCTGCGAGAGACTCCAGCAGGCAGGATTTTTCTCCAACAAGTGAAGTTCTCAAGGATTCTATCTGCTGCTCTAAATGCTCACTTAACTCTGTCTTAGTTCTCAGTTGTTCCTCCAGACGAAGCACATCAGCTTCCACAGACTCAATTTTGGCATTCAGTTCCTCTACGACACATGTGGAGGCTTTCTCTTGAAGGGCAAGTCGATCACGGAGTCCATCCACAGCTTCTTTTTGTTCTGTGATTGAGTCATCCTTTCTTGAGATGCTCTGTTTCAGTTGCGATATCTTCTCTCTGAGAGTGTCCATATTCTCTTGCGCTTGGGCTTCACGCTCAATCATCTCAAACTCTTTCCTTTCATGAAGATCTCTGTCAGCTTCCAACTGGGATCTCAGTTGTGCAATTTGACTGATCAGTCCGTCTATCTTATGGTTGTCTTCCATGTGCTGCTGCTGAGCCACCCTCATTTCGGTCTCCAACTGCTCGAGCTGTTCTCTAATGGCTCCAACCTCACTCTTACACTGTGCTCTGAGGGCTTCAATGTCTTGATCCTTCTCCTTAACTGTTTCCTCTTCAGTTTTAAGAGCACTGTGGGTTAGTTCAAAACTTTCCCTGAGCTGGGCCAACTCTGTTTGAAGGTGGCCAACCTCCTTCCTTTTCTCCGCCAGCTCTTTCTTGTAGTCCCTCTGGCTGTTAGAGAGTTGGTCCTCTGTGTCTTCAAGGTGTGATTTCATTTCCTCAATTTCAGCCTCCTTCTCGGCCAAAGTTTGCTCCAAGTCACAAATCTGATTTCCCTGCTTGATTATGGTCTTCTCCTGTTCATCAGCTTTCTGCGTAAGAGCCTTGAAATCTGTACCTAAGGACTCCTTTGAAGCTTCTAAGGTGGAGACACACTCCCTGGAAGCTTCCAGAGATGTCTCGGCCTCTCTTAGCCTACTCTCTGTTTCACTTATCAGAGCTTCCGTCAAGGCCTGCTTCTGTGTCAGCTCCTTGATCAAGAGGTCCTGATTTTCTTTTTCAAGTGCTGCAGTCTCTTGGAAGTGACAGCGATTATTTTTTTCTTCAGAGAGCTTCATATTCATCTGCTGGAGAGCTTCTTGGGTTAATTCAAGCTCATTTTGAAGATGTTGCACTTTTTCTTTCAGGGTTGCTGTGGTTGCTGTTGAGTTGGTCAGCTGCTCCCTCATATCCAGCTGAAGTTTTTCCAGCATTTCTTTGGCTAGTTGCTCTTCTTTAGAAACATCTGCACAGGAAGGAAATAAGAAATGACCAAGGATGTGTGTGAAAGGCATACAAATTGATCACAAGCCCTGAACTATCAAGGCTCTTTTAAACAAGAGAAACAATTTTTAAAGAACTTGTTGGTTTTGATTATGACAAGCATTTGTTTATGTGGGCTGAACAAAAGATGAAAGAAATCCAAAATAATCAATAAAATTCGGGCAATCAACTTCGAATTTTTCAGAAGCTTGTCAAATTTATGGAAACCACAAAAGTTGTGACAGGAAATCCGGCCATCTTCACAATCTAATATTGGTACACTGACGAGGTGCAATGCAGAAGCACTCAAATACGAAGATTTTCTGATTTTATAGTCTGGTCTTTTCTGACTCTACAAGTTTACTGCAATAAGTTAAACAGGAATCAAGTTAAAAGATCAAGGTTATGTACTTTGATTAATATGTACGGGGTTCATACACCCTTGTGAAAAAAATATTCCAGGACTTTTCCAACACTTAATTCTGGTTCTGGCTGTGACAACTTGACCACGAGGTAGGCCTACACACAGCTGGCGATCATAAAAAAAATAAACTTCCCCTAGTCCATTCAATGTTAAGGACAAATGTTCGTCACAGTCACAGTTTTACTTTTATATTGAGTTTTATTAGTTTATAATGACTGGGAATATTTAATTACGTATAAAATAAAGTACATAAATTTAATAGAGAATGATTTCATAATTGTAGCCACAACAGACAGTTCACCATGGAGCTACAAAAAACGAAAGTAAAATTTGACTACAAAAATGTTTAGTAATGATATCCTTGGTGCCCTGCGCATGCAAAATAGAAAGAATCACATTGTGGGCACCATCCATTTGCTCATAGCGCTGCGTGCAGCGCGGATGTGTTTTTGAGTATGTAGACCCCGCATGTTGAATAACGTACAACTGTACTGCGCCATGCAAAGGCGACAATGTACGCGGGGACGGTCACAGTTTATTAGATCGTTTTTGTCTCATTTTAAATATTGATTTTACTGTAATTTCCAGGAATTTCCAGGACTTCTTTAAAACCTAAAGCATTTTCCAGGACTTTCCAAGATGGGTATAAAATTCCAGGATTTTCCAGGTTTTCCAGGAGGCGTGCGAACCCTGTAAGTACCAACATGTATGTTTGGGTGCAGCTGTGTAGGCATTGTTAAAATACATGTATTTGTAGAGTTTTTTTTTTTTTTCCCCAATTTTTTTCTTCCTCAGATTTTTTCTCATACCTGATGGTCAAAAACGTCAATTCTGCACCCATGATCAAAACTACAACTTGGTTACTCTGAGCTTTGTTAGGTTCAATTTGTATTCCACATGTATCGAGCCATGCTTCAGCATGTATATCTTTCACAGGGGACTTGATTACCACATTGAGCTTGCCTGATTTAAGGTAGCATGGGTTTCTACATTTTCTTTGAAAAAAAAAATACAAGTATTCATACCCGTCAGTTTTGTAACAGTCTCGTCATAGGTTGACTGTAAAGAGCTGAGGTTGCTTGTGAGTGACTGCACTGTAGTGTCTAGCGCTTTCTTCTCTGTCTCAAAGTCCGCACTTTCTTGTTGCAAGGCTGATTTGGTTTCCTCCAGCTCCTCCCTTAAGTTCTGACTGGTTTGGACGAGTGCATCTTTGTGGCCGACAACTGCATCAAACTCTTGCTTCAGCTCCTCGTGGCTGGACGTAAGTTCCCCGTGACGTTGCTGCAGCTGCTCGCATTTCTCGTTTGTCACATTAAACTGCTCTGTGAGGCTGCTCAGATCCTCCACTGTGTTCTCAAGGGTGAAATGTGCCTTTTGGAGTTCACCCTCCAGGCTGCATACCTGCTCTTCAAGTGTTTTAGTTTCCCGTCTTAAATCATCAGTTATACTCTCGGCCGTCTCCGAAGATGCTTTGATTTCCTTTTCCTTCTCAGCCAATGCTTGCTCAAGGGAGGTCTTGGCAGCATCCAGCTCCTGTGCGTTCCTCTGAAGCTCCTCTAAGTCCAGGGTGAGGCAAGAGATGCGAGTCTCCTGCTGCTTGCATATCTGCTGCTTCTGCTCCAGCTTCTCAAGCATCTCTTGACGAGCTCGCTCACGGTCTTCCACATCCATCTGGCTGACCTCAAGTTTGGACAGCAGGGTATTCATCTCTTGGGTCATCTTGACGACGGATGCTTCATGCTCTTCTGTTTTGAGAGACAGCTTGCTCTGCAAATCTCTTAGCTGCTCCATATGAGATTCAACAGTGCGTTGCCCATCCTCAAGCAGAGTGTCTCTTTTTTCAAGTTCTCTGGCCAACTGGATGGACTTTTCCTCCAAGGCACTGACCAAAGATGTCTTCTCTTCAAGATCGGATTGCAAGCAATTCAAGGTCTGTTTCTGATTTTCCAACTGGATGTTCAATGACTCAATGTCTTTGTCTTTGTTCTCCATTTCAGAGACGTTGGCTTGGAACTTGGTTTTCAGAGCTTCACTTACTTCTGTGAGTGAAGTAAAGTCATTCTCTCTTTCACTGAGCTCCGTCCTCAGGTTCTTCAGAACTTCCTGTTGGTTTGACTCCCTTTGCTCAACCTTTGCAAGCCCCTGTTGAAGGCTTTCCCTTTCTTTACTGATAACTTCCATGTCATCCTGGGCCTTGGAGAGTTCCATCTTGTAGTCGCCAATGATGAAGTCACTTTGCTCCTTGGCTTCCTCCAGGGCTTTGATGGTGCTCTCCATCTGTCCCAACTGTTCGGTGTAAGCCTGCATGCAGTCATCCTTGTCGTCGATGTCCATCTGGATCAGGTCCAGGCGACCTTGCATTCTCTGGTTCTCTTCCTTGGTTGTTGTCAGTTCATCTTTAGTTTGCTGTAGCTCCCCCTCTGTGGCATGATGAAGATCCTTGGTCTTCTCCAGAATTACTTCCAAGTCGGAGACTTGGTCCTTGAGTGCTGCCACTTCTGAAAGTAGGGAAGCAGTGGTAGTTTCATGTTCATGCTTACACGTGTCATGTTCTCTCTCAAGACTTTCTATTTGGGCCTCTTTTTGAAGGACGACAGCTGCACTCTGGCTTAATTTTTCCGTCAGACTTGAATTTGATGCCTCCAGATCTTGTAAAGACATCGTCTTCTCAGATATAATCTGATCAAACATTTGCTGCAGCTCTTCAATCTCTTTCTTCTTCTTCTGGAGGAGTGATTCCATACTCTGCAGTTGTTCTTGGCTGGTGTCACATCTGTCCTGGACATCAGAGTAGGACATTCTGAGGAGACCAAGCTTCTTTTCGCTATCACAGAATTTTTCCTGTAACTGAATGAATTCCGTCTCTGCTGATTGTTTTTGTGAAGAGAGTTCATCTACAAGCACTTGTTTCTGTTTCAGTGCAATCTCACTTTGCTCAGACTGGCTTAACATATCTGCTTTTAAGTTTTCAAGCTGATCCTCTGTGTTTCTTAGATCACCAGACAGTTTGTCAAAACTGGTCTGCAGTTGGTGCAGTTCAGCTTCCACGGAGCAAAGTTTGGTATCTTTTTCCCGTAAGAGTTCTAGATGATCAGTGGCGTGTTGTTGGAGTGTTTCCACTGTTTTCTGTGCTGAGGTCTCAATTTGTTCAAGCTTTTGGACCTTCTCCTGGAGCGAGAGAACTTCTGTTTCGGCTTTTTTAGCCTTGCTCATCATTTCCTCGAGATTTGACTCCTTGTTAGCAATGACTGCTTCTGCGTGATCACACTTCTCCATCAAGGCTGCTTTTTCCTCTTCCGACCTTGTAAGGGATGCCTCGAATGCTTTGGTGGATTCATCAAGTCTGGAGGTCAGTTCCAACACCTCCGTCGTCAGCTGCTTTACATCTTCATCCTTTCTAGACAGCATCTCTTTTGTAGAGTCCAGCTCCTCTTGTGAGGCATTCAGGTCGCGCTGAGCAGCAGACGAGATCTTCAGTGCATTGTCCAAATCAAGCTTAGCGTTACTGAGCTCCTTCTGGGCAAGGCTGAGCTCAGCTGCAATCTCCGACGCTTCCCTGGAGCTTGCTTCAGCAGTTGCTCTCGCATTCTCAACATCAGACTCGGCCTTTTCAAGTTGTTGTTCCAACTGCTCCACCTTATTTTCCCGGTGACTCAGCTTCTCCACAAGGTCAGAGATTTCTTTCGACTGCTCACTGATCCTTGATTCAGTTCCTGTAAGCTTTGCCTTGAGTGCAGCCACAGCAGCTTGGTGTTTTTCCTCAGACTGCTGGAGCTGTGTTTTTGCGCTGTCCAGTTCCTTTCTCAGCGACTGCAGAAACTCTTCCGTGTCTGCTGCAGCTTTGTTCAGTTCAAGTTCAACCTTCTTGGCATCTCTGAAAGAGAGAATGAATGTTGTAATATTAGCCAAGAATAGTCAGAGTAGACCCAAAGTGGTTTAACCTTAAAAGTCCCAAATCCTCCAAGTTCAATGGATTTTACATACATCCTAGGGGATTAGGGTTGAATGTTTTGAACACAACCATGTTTTACACTAAACAAAATGCATGCAGTTAAGATTTGGTACATCTTTTTTTCTTGTTGCCAAAAGTTCTAGGCGAAAAGAAATATCCTCATGATACATTTCAACATTCAATAACAGTGTGTTTGTTATCGATATAGCATGCACAAGTTACAATGTAACTACATGTAGATTCTTTACAATAAAATCTCTACTGAGAAGTGAAAAACTGTGGTTTGACAAAAGTTCAAAAGTATGAAAACAGTTAACCTACAAAATTACACTGAAACACCAAGTAACATATTTCATTTTAATATGCTTAAACGGGGGGATTCAGCAGGCATTTCCTCAAGGAAGCCACAACTGAAAATATATACTTTTTAAATTAAGCACATTTTGGTGTAAAGGTCTGGCATCACATCTTTATTTGAACGCTCATGTTGTATGAAAACCAGCAGAACTATAAGTGATTCAATGAAATGGCCTCAGATGTTTTCTATACAGGTACTTACTGTTCAGCTTTCTTGGCCTGCTTCAAGTCCCCTTCAGCTCTGTGCAACCGCTCTCTTAGTTTTTCAACCTCAGACTCTGATTTGTCAAGCCTATCCAGCAGATCGGTTACCTCTGTTCCCCTGGCGTCCGCCATTTCACAAGCTTTCTTGTAGTCGGACAGGAGACTGCTGTTCTCCAGACGAAGGTTGCCCAGCAACATCTTCTCACTCTCCTGCTCTTGCAAGATGCTGGCGAGCTCGGACCTGACGGATTCTACCTCACATTTTGATGCCGTCAGATGGTCTTCCAGCTCTGTAATCCTGTTGTCCCTCTCCACAACTTGTCTGCTGTGCTGGGTTTGAGCATCTTTAGCTCTCTCCACTGTTTCCATCATGCTGTTATTCTGCTGCTTCAGCGTGGAAACCTCTCTCTTCAATCCGTCAATCTCTCTGCCACTGCCATCTACCAGTTGTTGGAGCTTCTGCTTAGCATCTTCTGACACTGTTCGCTGTTGTGTCAACGTCTGAATCTCGTGCTCTCGTTTCTGGACTAAATCTTGCGCAGAGGAATGCTTGGTCTCCACAGCCGACAACTGCAGTTTCAAATTTTCCGCGATGTTGTTGAGTTCCTTCATGCGGTTGTCGGACTTGGCACTGAAGGTGTCCAGTTCGGTCTCCTTCTGCTGCATCTTCCCTTGCAGATCGTTCACGAGGCCCTCGTTGTGCTGGCACTCTCGTTTCAACTGCGCCACCTGGCTCTCGAGATTGGTGATCTTGCAGCTGCCTTGGTCAAGCTTGCAAAGAAAATTCTCCTTCTCTCTGACGAGGTCAGCAAGTGTCTTCTCCAGCTGAGCAACTGTTTTTTCGTGCGAATTGACACTCTGGTCGGCTCTGTCAAGTTGCTGCTTGAGCTCCCCCATCTCCCTCTCCAATTTCTGGGCAGCGAACTGAGCTTTCTCAAACTGCGACTGCAGCACACTGCGCTCGGACGTCAGCTTGTTGATCTCCTGTTGGTGCTTGTTAGTGGCATCTTTGAATTCTTTGTCAAGACTGGTGACGAGCTGTGCCTGCTGGGACAGTTCTTGCTTGTGCTGTTTCTCTCGCTCCTTGAAGCGCTGCTCTTGTGAATTGCGGGCAGCCTCGGCATTGTGGCGTTGGCATTCCAACTCCTGCACCGTCTGCTTGGATTTCCTTTCCAATTCTTCCAGCTGTAATGTAAAAATAACAGAAATAATGAACTCAAGACGAAGAACCGGGCTGACATGGAATGCTCTTTCTATGGGAAATATTTCATTTACATCTGTGCAACTTCATTTTGTATTATATAAAACTTGAATATTTGAATGGTGAAGCATTAAAGAGTCAAAGCCAAAAGCTCAAATGTACAAACATCCGATCTGAATTATGATCCTCCCAGTTATGATTTTTGAAATGATTTACCTTTGCAGTGGCCTTGTCCAGCTGGCTTCTCAAGTTATTTGTCTCGTCCAGCTGTTTGTTGAATGCAGCTTCCTTCTCTGCGAGAGCTTTCCGGACTTCTGCCAGCTGTTTCTCACTGTCTGCTGCCTGGCTACGTAGGTTGTTCAGCTCCTTGTCTTTGGCCTGCAGCTGCAACTCTAACTTGTGCTTCGCTTGGCTGAGGTCTGCGAGAGAAAAGTAATTTCAATGCAGTCTCGTTTTAAAATCTTCCGTTTGAAAAGAATTGGTCAGTTCTCAGAAAAGACTGCACTGACGTCGGATGTCAGCACTCTATCAACGTTTCTGTGTTTAGTTATTTAACATATCAACAGGATTCAGCATATTGGTGTTTTGTTGAGATTGACTAATATCGCACATTTACTTGCTAAAGCATGATGTAGACATGCAAAACTGTAAATTCCACCACACATTACATTTTGTCTCTCTGTTAAAACAGTTGTGGCTGACCAGTAAATGTAACCGATTAAATAAAGGGAAAGACAAGCTTACTGTTAGACTAGCACACATGCAGAACCTGATAAGTCAACTATAGGTTGGATGTTACTGGGACAATGAACAGCTCTTAGCCTCCTTGGAATTGCAGTGGCACATCCACTGAATGACACTTAAGGTCCATCTGCCCTCCCA